TGTTGCGGTTGTTTTGTATTGTGGCGCATGGCCCATGCATGCTAGTTGCCGGGGGAGGCAGCTGGCGTTCGCTGGCTAAACTATTAAACTATTTGAACATAAGACTGCAAAATAACAAAATCTAAAAGAAAAGTGACTGAATACTTTCTAAATGCACATTGATCTGTCAAACAGACATCTTTTAGAATTCTAAGAAAGAATTCTAAGAAAGAATTCTAAGAGCTGTCTGCCCGGCAGAAGCCAGAATGAGTTATCATGCATGTACATAGTTGCATGATACTGTACATCATCCTAGAGAAACTCCCCAGTGGGAAGCACCGGGCAGACAGCTCTTAGAATTCTTTCGTAGAATTCTAAGAGATGTCTGTTCTGTCTGCATTATTCTTAATGCAAATGGAAATACACCTTTAAAGTGACCTCTTTTTGTATAGTGTATGGTTTTATGATGATTTTTCATTTACTCTTTCTGAATAAACATTTTCTTCTAAAATATGACACTGAGTCTAATGTTTCAAAGTTAAGAATGTTATTATCTATGTTAATATTTATCTTTATTTATTCATGTCATCTTTGAGTGGATATTTACAACAATACAGTAAATGAGTCAATAAATAAGATGTCATAAAAATAAAACGATTTTTCATGGTGGAGTCTCATCTTGTTATACAACCCTGCATCAAATGATAAATAAATCAACCTTGTAACCTATTACACTATTACCACCTGTAAGAAATGAGTTGGCTGTTCCAGTGACTGTACATGAACATAACTGCCAATTAATTATAGCCTACATGTAGAAAATACCAATTATTCTGTCAACAGCAAATGGACAGAATGATTACAGTATACTCATTGGTAAAGAAATAACACCAGTTATCTCTTTACAGGTTGGAGGGGTATGAAAGGCGGTCTATTTACAATATATCTTCATCATCATCACAGTGTATAAAATCCAGCACCCTGCTTTCATTTCTTCAGTCTGCAACATGAATGTTTACTGTTGCCATGGCAACAGGTGCTGGTTTAGTAGTTAATGAATTGCAATATGTAGTACCTGGTACTAAGATTTACCTTTAACAATATCTGACAACGCCACCTCCCGCTAAGGGGCAGGAGGAACCTTTAAACCTTTAACATCTCCCGTACAAGTTGTGACCCACTCTGACTTCCCCGAACAGGAACAATTTACCAGAGGCGTATCTTGTGTAAAAGTTAAGTTGGTTTTATTACAATAGATAAATAAAATTTCCATAAAATATAGGGATGAGGCAATAAGAAACGAACAATTCCGCTGATGGTTCAATCAATCAGTTCTCTTCACAATAAGGGTCGGTCGGCTCTACACAGCAACAATAAAAATGACTGTGGGAGACAGAAGAGGGAGACAACAGAGCTACCACCACACACATGCACTACACATTAAATAGCATTACACACTTAAACTTTATAGATTTATTGCAATGGAATATATGCAGTGTCACGACAACTATACACACCACTACAGAGTGTCACCCGTGCGGTCCCACCACAGGATGGGGGCTGTGTGTTGATGCGGACCCGGCCTTTCACAATTTAGGATAAACACAAGAAACCTGTGCTGTAAAAACTGGACCAGACTCAGTGAATAACTCCCTAAGCCCTATGATAACTATTAATTCAGCTACACAGACTAATGAGCAGTGATAACTAACATGTCGTTGGGGTCATCAGGTGGGAACCTCCTTTCACCAGTGTTTCGTCTAGTTGGTCCCACGACACCTCCAGGAGGCTAGACAGTGATCACTGGCGTCCCAGAGTCACTCCCCTAATGCCAGCCATCACTGCTCCTCACACCACAACTATTTTCTCCTTTACCTTGCCTATGCTACCACACACAACATTATCAACTAGGACAAAACACACCAGCAGATTCAGCAAACAAACTCCCCTAACCAGTTGGAGAAAATGGCGGCCATTTTGAATGAGGGAGGTAGAGTCAGGGAGAGGTGCCTGTTTGGGCTAGCTCTCCCCCGCCGGGTTAGGCTGTGCTCTACCTCCCCCTACTCCCCCACTCTCCAACAACTCACCTAAAACAAACAAACTCGCCTAGACAGTCAGAGACACACTACAGACCAATTCAGAGCAATACAAACAAACCAACTCACCTGAACTAACCGCATGGTCTCAAAGAGGCTCACACAGGCCACACCCTCCACTTAAAAACACTTCCTCTTCCTGGATTTTCTTCCTTGCTTCTCCTAAGAGTCTGTCTATCCTAAGTGCTCCCCCTGCTGGGCCCCCAGCTACCATTACTTCTTCTAATCCAAATCCACTGACTGGATCTTGCTGCCTCATCTGACATGTCTTTTACTATTTTCCTCACACTCTGTCCACTTGCTCCTAGCTCCCTTACCAAAGAGACAACAGACCTTGCTACAAATCCTCTACATCCTACTTCTACTGGACAAATCCTAACTTTCCATCCTCGCTGCTCTGCTTCTGCCCCTAACTCTGCATACCTGAGCTTTTTCCTTTCATATGCTTCTTCAACTGAAGCCTCCCATGGAACAGTCAACTCTATGAAATATACTTTCATTCTACTCCTAGACCACAAGACTATGTCAGGCCTTAACTTTGTACTGGCTATTTCCTGGGGAACAACAAGCTTTCCTCCTAAATCTACCTGCATTTCCCAATCACAAGCATCCTCTAAGCTGCCTTGCCTCCTTGCTGTCTTACCAACTTTCTCTCCCTCTTGAACAAACTTTATTGCAACTCTCTTTGTTTTAGACCCTCCTAAATTTGCCTGCCTCCGTAGGTCTTCTATTCCTGCAGCTAAGCTTTTTAAAACCTGGTTATGTCGCCACGTGTACCGGCCTTGCGACAGACTAACCTTACAGCCTGACAAAATGTGCTTTAGAGTTGCCGTACCTGAACACAATGCACATAGCGGGTCTCCATTTACCCAGAGTTTTAGGTTCTGGGGAGTTGGCAATACATCATATGTTGCCCCTATCAAGAATCTAATGCTACTTTCCTCCATACTCCACAGCTCTTTCCAGCTAAGCTTTTTCTTATCTACACCTTCCCAATTTAACCACTGTCCCTGCTTAGCCTGAGCCACTGCCTTTGCACCCCTTAATATCTCCTCCTGTCTACGAACCTGTTCCACCACTAGCTTTCTCTTTTCCTTGGGACCTGCTCTACTCCACACCGGTTTGCCTGGGCCAAGCCCCAAGCCTCCCCGGCCTATTTGGACATTACCCACAATCTCTGTATGCCTGAGCGTTGCTTCTGCCTCCTGCACTGCCATTCTTGGATTCCACTTTCTCCCCTTGATTGGGTTTGGAACCACCTTACTGACTACCACATCTTTACTCCCAGATAACAGGAGCTCTGTCCTAACCTTAGTACATTTAAACTCCTCCACCAGACTAGTGACTGGGAGCTGAAGTATGCCTTTCCCATACAGTGCCACCGTACTTAAGCATCTAGGAACACCTAGCCACTTCCTAATGTAAAAGCTAACTAATCTTTCCATTTTTTCTGCAGCAGATAATGGAATCTCATAAACAGACATTGGCCACATCAGTCTGGGAAATAATCCGAACTGCAAACACCACAACTTCAATTTTCCTGGAAGCCCTGATTTATCTATTCTATCCAGTCCCTCGGCAACATCTTTCCGAAACTGCACTACCTGTTCTCCGTCCTTCAAGTCTGCCTTGTACCACCTACCTAGACTCTTTACTGATTTTTCCCTAATTATTGGAATTTCCTCTTCGTCTATTACAAACTTCCTATCACTTAGCTTCCCTCTACTTAATGAGATACTTCTAGACTTACTAGGCTTAATTTTCATACTAGCCCACTTTAAGTTTTTATTAAGTCTCTCAAGTACTCTTTTCATACATGGCACCGTTGTAGTTATCAACGTCATGTCATCCATGTAGGCCCTAATTGGTGTAAGGCGCATCCCATCCTGCCGCCTCTCTCCACCTACAACCCACTTAGAAGCCCTAATGATTACCTCCATCGCCATTGTGAATGCCAATGGAGAAATCGTGCACCCTGCCATAATGCCTATTTCTAGCCTCTGCCACCCTGTCGTAAAGCCTGCTGTACTTACGCATAGTTTAATGTCTTGGAAATACGACCTTACTAAATTAACCACTACTCCAGGCACTCTAAAATAATCAAACGCCTCCCAAATAAGGCTATGTGGCACTGAACCAAACGCATTTGCTAGATCCAAAAATATGACATGCAAGTCTCTTTTCTCTGTCTTGGCTGCCTGAATCTGATGCCAAATCATGCTAGTGTGCTCTATACACCCTGCGAAACCTGGTATTCCTGCCTTCTGTACTGCAGTATCTATTAGGCTATTCCTTTCTAAATAACTAGCTAATCTCCGTGCGACTATGCTAAAGAAGATCTTCCCCTCCACATTAAGTAGCGAGATCATGCGAAACTGACTCAGGTCTGAGGATTCCTTCTCCTTAGGAATAAAAACACCTCCTGCCCTACGCCATGCTCTAGGAATAACCTGTTTCTCCCAAACTATTCTTAATTGCCTCCACAAAAACTTTAGGATATCAGGTGCGCTTTTATAAACCCGGTAGGGGACTCCATTTGGCCCTGGGGGCGAAGAAGCCTTTGCACGCCTGACTACCTCCTCAACCTCCTTCCATCTCATGAACTATCTGTCCTAATGGTGGCATGTCAGGTGGGAGGCCTACTACTTTATTCTGCTCCAAGTCTGAATACGTGTTTCTTAAATACTTTTGCACTTCTAACTTTGTTGCTTTAAGCTGCCCTCCCTTTTCCTGGTTAAACAATCCTTTAACAAACTTGAAGGGGTCCCTGTAAAACGCAAAGACAACAAAGTCAAACTGTAGATACGAAGAGAACAAACATTAGCTTTCATCACCATCCAAAATGACTACCATACCATCATGCTAGAAAATACTAAATGCCTCAAGCCTACAAATCAAAATAAACAACAAAAAAAAGCAAATTAACAGTAGAAAACAGTGGCTGGCCTGGTCCTTTAAAGAAAACACAGAAATGCATTAGTTGCCAGGCCAAGGTTCAATATATTGCACATAAGTAAAACACTAAAAAAGTAATAAAATTATAAGCCTACTTTGCAAAGGTACACAAACTCCCATAATTAAATAATGCAGGAGTGAGGAGAAATCCAGTGCATCACTATTAAAAAAAGGAAAACACAGTTATAAATACTACAATCTAAAAAATGCATTACAATAAACACATGTATATTTGTTTACCAGTCTCTGTGCACCTCTGCCACAGTGGGCGTCAATGACCACGTCAATCCTGAACTGAAACATAAATAAAATATATTTAACATAACTCTCAGGTGACGTTACCATGTCCACACAGGTTAAAATATAACACAAAGAGAGCTGGAGCACACGGGCATGTGGCCACACAGGTGAGACAGACAAAAGGCCAGCACAAGCCCAAGCCACTCATTATCAAAAATGTTAAAACTACTGAGCATTATCGTCAGCTTCGCTGCCTCACCCTGACGGACAGGACCCTCGTGTCTGCCTGTCACCCCGTATGAGAGGGAGAGCCAAGTCAGGAGGAAAGGGGCTTTCCACTGAGGCAACCGGCGTTTTATCACTTCCTGATTGACACCCAGTCACATGACCGCAGATGACCAGTCATGTGACCAAGTGTCAATGACAAGTGTCACATTTTCCCACAAATACATAATCTTAAAACAAATATAAACACCAACAACCATCCTATAAAAGGCCTTAACCAGGACCTGTCACTTATCTTACAACCGTTAACATAGTGCACGTTACTTGTGGCCCATCCCTTCTAGCTTGCCTTTAAGAATGGGGGGTTGGATGGCGTTAAATGCACTTGAAAAAATCAAAGAACATTATCCTCATGTAACTACCTGGCTCATCCAAGTAAGAATGGGCCCGGTGGAGCATGTAAAGGACGGCATCATCCACTCCAATATGTTCTTTGTAGGTGAACTGTAGGGGGTCTAGTGCATGTTCAACCTGTGACCTCAGAAGGTGGAGAAGCAGCTGCTCCAGGGTCTTCATGATGTGTGATGTGAGGGCCACCGGTCTGTAGTCATTTATCTCAGCCAGTCGTCCTGCTTTAGGTACTGGAACAAGACATGATGTTTTCCACAGAACCAGGACCCTCTTTGTTTGAAAGCTTAAATTAAAGATCCTCTGGAGAGGCTCAGCCAGCTGGGCTGTATAGTCGTTCCCAGAATGTAGCCTCTTGAGCTCCGCCCTCACCTCTGCTGTATAGGACAGGAGACTTGACCCCAGTGTGGAGGTTGTGGAGGAAATGCCATTGGAGAAGCTGCAGCTGAAGCAGTGGGAGAGAGAACAGTGAGGATGTGTCAAACCTCTTGTAGAACAGGTTGAACACATTGGCCTTGTCCACATCACCTGATGTTGCCTGGCTGGTCTTGTCCTTATAGCCAGTGATGGTCCTCATCCCCTTCCACACCTCTTTGGTGTTGTTGTGCTGCAGCTTCCTCTCTACTTTCTTTTTGTAGTCCTCCTTCGCCTGCTTTAATCTTCTCTTCAGCTCATGTTGCACACACCTGAGCTTCTCCCTGTCTGATATCCCTGGAGGCCTCCTTTTTCTGGTTGAGAAGGGTCTTGATGTTACTGGTGATCCAGGGTTTGTTGTATGGAAAGCAGTTACAGTTCCTGCTGGTATTACAGTGTCCATACAGAAGTTAACGTAGTCCATGGTACATTCAACCATTCTATTAAGATCAGGGTCCTTGCTTTTATCATTTTCCTGTGACTCCAACAGGACATTCCAATCTGTGCACTCAAAACAGTCTTTTAGAGACTCACTGGCCTCTGGGGTCCAGTTCCTGAATGAGCGGGTGGTTGCAGCCTGCCTCAGTAGACAGGATCTGTAGGAAGGCTGAAGAAAAACCAGATTATGATCTGATCTTGTCACCGCCTGCTCTGCCTTCACCTGCGGCTTCAATAATTTTCCACCTACCCTGCCTCCGTCTCACTCCCACCAGCTGGCCACACCTACCTCATCAGCTCCACCTTGGGCTCCGAGCTGCATCTCATCACATATTAACAAATATTTATGCATCCCTGGTTCATTCACTAATTGCGAGATTGTTCTTTGTACCCATGTGAGACTTTCCAGCGTTCTTCTCCGGACTGACTTCCTGGTATTGACTCTGCTTGTCCCTGACCATCCTGCCTCATCTCTGCCCCAGTAAACGCCTCAGCCTTCTGTCCCCAACCATGAGTTCTGCCTGTGCTCTTCATGGTTCCCACCTGACTGTCCCTGTGGCTGTTTGGCGTTCGCCAGCTCCAACATCGCAGCAGTTGTCTTGTGAGTCCTTCCCTGCTGGTTTCCTGATCCTTCATCTTATTTTGATTACCCGCCTACCTGCTCCTTCCTGGTTCGTCTGCCCTGCTGATTGCTCACCTGGTTCCAATCCTCCTGCACCCTCGACTATGTATCCAGCCTGCTCCCTAATGGTACCGTTGCTTCCCGGTGAGCTTTCCCCAGTGTGTGCGAGTTCAGCCACCTTGCTCCATGCACCTGACTCATGACTCTCCAGCCCTGGCCCCCGGGTCCACCCCAAACCCCAAGAGACTATTGTCCTGTGTAGTAACCTGAACCCTAGTGCTGCTTACCTGCTTCCCCTCATTGCAGCAAATAAGTCATTACCAATCTTACCTGTGTTGTGCTGCAATTGGGTCCTACTAACACCTGTTACAGATCTGCCAAGTGGTGGTAGAGCTGAAGCAGTGTAGGCCTCCTTGACATTTGCATACAACAGATCCAGTGTCTTATTTTCCCTTGTGGGACAGCCAACATACTGAGTCAAGCCAGTCAGCTGAGAGGTGAGAGTGACATGGTTAAAATCTCTCGATATTGCAATGAATGCATCAGGGTGCTGGGTCTGTACTCTCTCAACAGTCTCGTGAATGATGTCACACGCAACAGTCTCTGCTCGTGGTTGAATGTAAACAACAATGACGACGATGTGTGAGAAGTCCCTCGGTACTTAGTACGGTCTAAGACCAACTGCCAATAGTTCAATATCCTGACAGCAGATATTCTTAACTGTGATGTGACCAGGGTTGAACCATCTATTCACAAGCAGAACCAGTCCTATACCTTTATTCTTTCCACTTGCTCTAGTGTCTCTGTCCGCTCGTACTGCAGTGAAGCTGGGTAATTCCACACAACTGTCGGGAGTGTTGTCATTTAACCAGGTCTCTGTGAAACACATGATACTACATTCACAATATGCTCGCTGGTTCTTCACAAGTGCCTCCAGTTCATCACACTTGTTAGCCAGGGAGTTGACATTTCCCATGAGGATCGATGGTAGAAAAGGCATATATCTCCATTTCCTAGCCTTTAGCTTAGCCCTGGCTCTGCATCCACAGAACAGCTTCTTCAGCTCAGCTGATTTGGGATGTTTAAATCCATATCTGGTAAACTTTAAAGCCAGGAGTTCTTCCTTTGTGTACATTAATTTCTCCATCAGATGAAATGACGAAATATATACAAATATATATTGCAAAAAAATACGAGCTATGCGGACTTGCTGCCACTTGTTGCCAGCGCATCATTTGAATTACTGAATACTGTACTATAGTATAATGATGTTACCCAGATGGTAGTGGTGTAACTGAAAATGTGAGAAATTATGTTACACACAGTTCTGCATGTGTCACACAGCCTTGACTTCTGTCCAATCATATGTTGCATTTCATTTTTTAACCACAAAGTGGGGCAGTTCTACAGCAATGCAGATGGTGAGAAGATGGTGAGGTGTTTTTTTTCATACAGGGGAACAAAAGAGACAATTGACCTGTTCATCACACCTGGAACATATAAAATACCTGGATAATAAAAATAATGAGTCTGCTTGTTAAGGTGACCACGGTTTGAAACTGCATCTCAAATATATGGTGTAATGTGAAAATCTAATTTCCATCTCTTTTGGTTTTGTATCAGGTTTGACTTATTTTACATTGACTGTTAATTTTGTAAATTTTGTTTTATTCTATAATCCTCTTGTGACCTTTTTTTCTGTAATAACTTTTCATGCATAGTGTAACGAAGACCTCGTCACTGATTATGGATGGCACATGGTAAAGAGGACCCTTAGTACACTCAAATAGTAATCCAGACACATAATTCCCCTCTGTCTTTGTGGTTAGTGCCACATTAAAACCACAATCAAAACTTTACACACATCCCCATACAGTATATGACCCAAGAAACACACTACATAACAGTTTAGTCATTTCAGGTCAGTTTATTTATACTCATCTCATTCAACCAGTGTCACCATAATCAGATGCTCTTCTCTTAGCAGTTACAAGCCTCTGGCCAACAGCTCTCCAGTAGTAGTAGTGCAAAACTCTGAGGGGGGCTGTGAACCAGACAGGCAACTTTTTGCAAGTTGTAGATAATTTTGGCTGTTTTGTTTTGCTGTGGAAAAACAGTGATAATAACTGAAGCGAGAAAAAACAGCTATAACAAAAAGATGGTGACAAACCAACAATATCATCTTTTATGCATTTCTCGAAAATCTGTTTTACATGAAATCTTTTCCAGGAATTATGCCTTTTGCTCTTCTACCTATTCACTGTTATCTCTGTTTTACCCGAGCTTTTATTGCTTTATTGTCACAGCCCCTCTGTGACCCCTAGTGTTTCCAGTGTTTATTTTCCCTGTCTCTTTCCCTTTGTCTCCTCCTCCTCTTTGTGTGAGTGTATGCGTGTGCTTCACAGCACGGTAGTGGCACAGCACTGACTACCTGACACACCTGTTACTCATCAAGCTCTGTGTTAGAAGCCCAGCTCTTCACTCACTCATTGCCAGATTGTTCCGCTCTCAATGTGGTAACTCTTCAGGCTGCCTTTTTCTCCAGTGAAAGAAATCTCATTTGATTGCTTGTCATTATGTTTTTTTGGGAAAATACACACCAGTGTCTCTCCTCACTTCAGTTACTGCCAGAACCAGTGCTGTGCCTGCTCCTGCTGAAGATTCACCGCCATTACCTGCCACTATACTCACCTGCCATCTCCACACCAATTACCCACCTGCATGCTTTCCACGCCCAGATGCCAATAGTCTCCACCTGGCTCCCTTTTCCTCCTGCACTTTCTTATACTTTTCACTTTCTGTTCCATTAGCCTTTTCACTGAAACACACGTGTAATGAAGTCGACTGAATTTTATTAGTGTTTAGATGTTAAAATGGGTATTTTTGGTGATGAACCAGTACATGCTTGCATTACTCAGTGATATCAGGCATTAATAACATATGTACAGAGCAGAACAATGAAATGTCAGTGTGTTTGTGTAATGAAACAAGTTTGTTGCCAAAAGGAGCGATTTTGTGTTCACCCTCTTGTCTGCATGTTGCCTCCCACAAGTTGCCTGTTCAGTTGCATTATTCAAATCTCTCTAGAGTTAATGTTGCATTGAGTAGTGCTCAGACATTGTTTACTAGAAATGAGAGGTGTGTGTACTTTTAAATTAAGGTGTGGGGAAAATATATCTGAAATGATGCAGTACTGATTTCACAAAGACCAAAAAAACATACAAATGATGTGCAACATGTTAAACTGTTGGTGTTTTCTACATGAAATAAACAACACTGTTACCTGCTGAGTGTTTCAATTGTTTTATATGGGTTCAATTATCCCACCTGAGGCCTGTACTACGAAGCAGGATTAGACATTATCGAGGTAACTTCAGGTTTAACTCTGGTTTTTCAGTCCTATGACAGTGGTTCACTTGTTAACAAGGTAAATCACCGTGGTAACTTACACTGAACTCCTAAGCTGCTCTTTCACAGGTTAACTTAGAGGATCAGATCAAAACTTGTCAACAGCCAAACTACTAACCAATCAAATCACTGGAAAAACAGAGTCATCATTCCTACAGGATCCTGACAGGGACAAAAGAGTTTACAATAAAGTGATCGATAATAAAGAGCAGCAGATATAAAATAGAAAAAATCACTGGAATAGTTTTCCTGTTTCAGTCTTTCCATTTGTCCACTCCGGTTTTAAAACAAGGCTTCTAAAAAATGCATAGAGAGTTTATCATGCTAAATAGCCTATATAATAACTATTATAGCTTCATTTTAATTGAACAAATATTCTTTAATCTGTCAGAATTCCTGACAGTGATGCAGTTTTAACTCTCTTCTTCATCCCTGCAGCTCAGAATAACACTCTGTGACCACAACTGGAAATAAAAACTAAACCTCTGATGTCATTGATTAGTGTTTTATCTGCATCACATGTTCATAACAGTTTGTTTATCATCAGAATTAGGAGCAAAAATACTCAAACATAATGATAATTCATGCACTTATTTACAATATATCTTTAGTCTGACTTTAATAGAAATTATATTTAGACATGGAAATAATATTGTCTATTCCAGTCATGTGATTATATTGTTTACATTTCACCTTGTTGAATATCACTTTTGGACATTGCTATAACCGAATTTACCAGCAAGTATCAACATTTGTACTCCTGTCGTATAAAGTACTTCATTCATGGTTCTGACGATGTTGCTTATAATTAACAACTCATTACTGGATAGGTAAACCCAGGGTTAACTGAGCCAGTTGATAACCTGCTTCATAGTACAGGTTATCAGGACAGTCAATATCAGGTTCAGTCAAGCCAGATAACTAAAAGTTATCCTGAGTATGTTGAACTTGCCTCATAGTACAGGCCTCAGGTTCTGTTGGCACCATTCATGAATGAATGCAGTTTGTTGACACCCTTGGTAACACACTCATCCAAGCATGCAAACACACTGTATATCAAACCATCAGTATGTCATGGCTGTGAAACTGCTGAGCGCCAATGGGATTGGCCATGATTGCCGCCAACAGAGTTGCAATAATGTCATCATAGACTCAAGTGATCAGGTTTTAGTCAAGTCCAGAATAATCAGTCTTTGAACACTTACTTGGAAGTGAAAAAGGAGGAAGTCGTTTTAATAAAACAATGGAGGAAGTATTCAGATCTACAACAATGTAAAGATACTCCGTTATAAGTAAAAGTCCTGCATTCAGAATCATAGGCAAAGTACAAAAGAAGCCTATTATCACCAGAATAAAAGCAAAGTAACTTTACATGATCATTATCACTAATGCTATAATGTGTGAGCAGCATTTTTGTTGGACTTGGTGGAGGTGGAACTGACTCGGCAAAAGACATTTCTGGTTATAACTGAAACCTAAAAATCCTTATTTTGTAATGTAATAAGAATATTCAAACCTGTTTTAATTCAAATTTTGACAAATGTTCGTGTGTGTGTGTGTGTGTGCGTGTGCCTGTGTGTGTATATATACACATTTATATGCATCCTGTTTGAAAGCTGATTGTCTTTTATATAAAAAATAATCCATTAAAACACTGTGCTTATAGCTGGAAGAAGGAGGTAAAACAGAAGAAAATGGAAATACTCAAGTAAAGTCAAAGTACCTCACAACTGTACTTACAAGCCTCACACTACTTAATTATCAAAAACATTGTTTCTGTTATGTACACATCATGTTTAATGGTTCATTCAAAAGAACATGAAAATGTTTTGACAGCTGTTAGATTTATTAACAAGTTTTCTATGTACATACACACACACACACACACACACACACACACATATGGATTTTTGCATCGCTATCATCAACCCACAATGATGCTGCTGCTGGCAGCGTGACCCGACAGTGTGTAACGTCAGTCTCTCTGTTTACATGATCAGTCAGGGAATAATAGCTTTGCATGCAGGATTACAGTTTTAGCGCAGAGAGGCACTTCATGATTTACACTGATAAAATCACATTACTACATTACATAATTAATTGCAAAGCTGCTACTGTATATTTACAGATGTAAGACACAGTATTTTCATGATAATATGAACTGTTTTAGCCTGTTACATATCATGAAATAAAACTAATTAATGACAAATTAATGGCTGCTATCTATAAACTGAAATAATCTATCCTTTCTTCAATTACAATACAGACAACAAAACAATGATCCACATAATAAACCATGCAATCCACATCATGTGCACACTGAGGTGCAGTTAGCTGACGTTTAGGCATAAAGGTCTGCAACATGGAGTGTTTTTTTAACAGCAGTGCATCATCATGGTATATTAACAAATAGGTTCATTGTTGTGAGGACTAGTAGCCACTGTTTCACACCTTCTGCATGACTCACAGTGTTATATATCTGTTAGTAAGAATATTTTTTGCTGTTTTTTTCACCTCCATTGGTCTTTGGTCAAAGATACTTTAAGGAAGGGTTAGGGTTAGAAAACCATACTGGAATTGGTGAAAGTGTTGGAGAACTCACAGATTAGAATTAGTGTTCACATAGAGTCTGGATGTACACAGGAAGAGGATGTTGTGGTTTTTTTCTCTCTTTTTAAAGAGTATAAAAGAATTATAAAACATCTTTTGTGTAAATCCAGCTTCACTTGCTCTTCCTCCATTTGCAAATGAATGGAATAAAAATAATTTGCACTGCATCCCTAAAGATGCTCCCACTTCTTATGAGCCCTGTATATTTGGTAAGATTTCCTGCAGCATCTCTAAGAGCAGACCTAGGAAAATATCCAGGCAAAAAGTTTTATATACTGTATTTGAACCTTAAATGTTTTCATTGCATGCTGCATGCTGTTTGTTTTATACAAGCCCCTTTCTTTGCTATGACCTCGAGGAAAAATTTGGAAATCCCTGTAGTCAAACATGATAGATGCACTGTGGGACTTCTGCAATGGTTACCATAGTACATGAGGAGCTTTTATTCTCATGAGATCTAAACTCAAAAGAGGTGTGATCACTCTATTTGATCTGTTTGTCAGGATCTCACAGAAAACTGTCCTCGCTGGCAACAAAGGAAAACCCATTGAAGGCGTTGTTGGAGCTGGAGCTGGAGCTGGTGCTGGCGTTGAGCTCCGGGGTCCGACTCACAGAGTTAGGAACCATTTCTCTGGTGAACTCTGGATCGATATGCTGAGTGTCAGATGGGCCTCTCTGAAAGAGGAAAAATTTAGGTAATGAGGTGAAGTTTCTTCTGGCAGGTCACTTACTCTATGAAGAAAAAAGTAGGCTGCTGTTAAATGTTTAAATCATTATTAATGTTGCTGTGGTTTCTTGGAGGTACACATACTGTGTACACTCATTTAGGACAGTGGTTAAACTGTAACCTGCACAACGTTTCAAGTGTTCATTTGTACCTGTCAGGCAGTCATAACAATACATTTCAAACAAATAAAAGTTACTGAGCCTATAACCAGTTGCTTCCAAAGAAGGCATTGGTGAAGGTTACCCTCAAGAAAAACCCTCTGGATGCACAATAAATGATGTTTCTAACATTTAAAGAAGAAGACATAGGCTACATACATACAGTTTGTACATTCAATGACGATTTGAAGCCACTATGACTGAACTGACAAAAATAGATTTTTAGCTATAAAACTTAAAACATCAAACTGTAAATGTGCCTCTATTGGGCCTATTAGACAAATGTGAAGGATGAGTTGAGTTAAAAATAATATAATAAAAAATTACATTAATCAAAGAAATTAGCTTGGATTGCAATCCAAGTAAAGAATATGAAGCCTCATAAAGAGGAATGACAGAGAGGATAATGGATTTAAGAAAATATGGAAAATAACTTAGATTTAGAGAAGAATACAAGGGCGGGTTATGTTGGCTGATCCTACTGGAAAATGTGTTGTGGGTGAGAAAAACCCTTGAGGTAGGGTAAATGATTGTGATATTTGAGAAGGCACCAGAATGTCTAGACAGACACACACAGCTGACAGAGGGCAGAGTGCAGTGTGACAGCCCTCCCACTGTCTCGGAGGTTGTCCTGGCCAACCTCAGCAGGCAACGTGTTTGACATGGGACGGTCTTCAACTGATGCAGTTAACCTGGGCCTTCCAGACTATAAAAGCTGGCCTATTTGCTCACTTGTTCTGTCATGTGCTGCTTTCATGGCTAAACTTGCTGGTCTCCACACCCCATTGTTTATTTGTGTAACCTTTACGTGTAATCATTTTTTGTATAACTTTTTTTTAATGTGGACTCCCTTCTTGTCACATTCCCTGAGCCCATCTGTGACAGTTAAAGTTCAGAAAGAAGAAGCCACACATAACTCACCACATTAGGGTTGTAAGGAGGAGTGATTCTCTTGTGGTAAAGGTCATCCCAGTTGATTGGAGAGAAGAATGTGTGGTTCTTTATTTCTAACTGTAAGTAAAAGAAAGAAAAGTTACATGTGTACTGTGTAAATATACTTGCATTCTTCCCATTAGGAATTCAGACTCATTCCCACACTCCCACAGAATAAGTATGAGAAATAAATAATGAACAAGTCTTCAAAGTCTGGGATCAGCATGTCCAGGCCTCTGGCCTGGCCTGCACTGCCCCACCAAATCATCCCAGCTCATCCCAAAAATCCCAAAATAACTGAAAAGTATTTTATGTTGTTCTTGTTATATCTGATTAGTTGGTCTGGCCATAAAAAAAACTGGATATAGCAGGTTGCGCAGTTACTTCGCTATCATTTTGATCGCAACCCGCAACCCAGTTGCACAAGCAGTGCACCCCCAGTTTTAAAATTCAAAACAACAGAAAATACATTGCGGGGCTATTGGGTCCCTGTATAACTAAAGTGAGAGGGGTCTCCGTGAAAGTCAAACACGTTCCTGGTGTTAGCCTCAGCCAAAGTTGTCCCTTATCACTAATCCTCTTTGTGATTTTCATGGACAGGATTTCAAGGTGCAGCTGGGGGGACTAGTGTTTCCGGCTTGGGGGCCTCAGAATTCTAAATCTGCAAATTTTATTTGCAGATGATGTGGCTCTGGCCTTGTTGGACCAGGACCTTCAGCAAGCACTGGGGCAAGTTTGCAGAAAAGTATGAAGAGGGTGGGATGTGGGTTAGCATCTAAAAGTCTGAAGTCATGTTCTCTGCCAGGAAATGGTAGTGTCTTCAGGTTGGAATGGAGTTTCTGCCCCAAGTGAAGGAGTTTAAGCATCTTGGGGTCTTGTTCACAGTGAGGGTAGGATGGAGTGGGAGACTGACTGGCATTTCAGTGCAGCGTCAGCAGTGAAGCAGGTGTTGTACCAAAGTGTTGAGGTAAAGAGGGAGCTCAGCCAGCAGGCAATGTCCTCGATTTACCAGTGGATCTTCAGTCTGACCTTCACCTGTGGTCATAAGCTCTGGTAGAGACTGAAAGAATAACATTTCAGATACAAGAGGCTAAAATGAGTTTCCTTCGCAGGATGGCTGGGCTCAGCCTTAGAGACAGGGTGAAGAGTTCTGACATCTGGAGGGAGCTCGGTTGAGTTGGTCTGAGCATTTGGTTAGGATGCTGGGTGCTTTCCATTGGAAGCTGGGTTCTGCCTGGAAGGCATGTCCAACCCAGAATATGCTGGAGAGATTGTAAAACTGGGAACGCTTTGGGATCCCCGGGAAGGGTTGGAAAACGTTCGCAGGGAGAGGGACATCTGGACTACTTTGCTTGACCTGCTGCCACCACGACCTGACCCCAGATAAGAGGCAGAAAATGGATGCATGGATGGAAGAAATTGTGAGGTCATTTTGGGTGTCTGATTATCTTTCAAATTTTTGTCGGAGGGTCTGTCCTTTAGAAAAAGTCCAAACCCCTTAAATAATGTTTTATATTTTTGAAAGAACTAAGCCTTGTTCACAGTGAGGGTAGGATGGAGTGGGAGACTAACAGGCAGTCTTTAAAGCAAAATGTAATGCATTTCCTTTGAAAATATTCTCTGTCTAAGACTAGGCTTATGTCTTATCTGGGAAACCATTTGTTTCAATCTGCAGCTAAAGTTGAAAGACATAACACACTCACAAAGTCGGCAATGGCCCCGATGCGCCTGTGCTGGTCCTTCTGCAGGAGACCCAGTAGCAGGGAGCAGATGGCCTCAGACTTCCCTGGAGGCAGTGGTAGTGGCATGTGGAGGATCCCATCATACATTTCACCGACATCACGACTGTAGAAAGGAGGCTGAAGCAAAGGGACGAGTACAGATGTCATTTGTATGAAATGCAATTTAACACACCTTTCCATAGAAAGTTTCCATAGATATGTAGACTTGTAAGGAAACAGAAAATTCATGTAAACTTTTCTTAGTACCACAGTTTCCCTGTGTCATGCTTCACGTCATTACTCGCGGTTACTTATAGGGATATACAGGTTTTAGCCTATGTCTTAATCACATGACTGAAAGGGAGATAAAGATTTCATGTTCACATAAATGCAATAGAGAGACATTTTTCAGAACTTTATCTTGTGCATCTCTTGTTGAGCTAACTTATGTTGTGATTTGGCGATATATAACTTAAAATTTACTTGACCTGCATATGGTGGTGGCACAGGCATACTGTATACATTTATTTGCTTTCTTGTTCAGAGTTTGATGAGAAGATCGATATCACTCTCATGTCTGGGAATTATTAAGTTACTGACAGCAGCTAGCTAACTTAGCTTAGCATAAAGACTGGAAACAGGATAGTTGTGATTACACTTCAGTTTTTGTATTGATTGAATTAAATTTGTGAGGTTCAGAGATTCTGGTAGCTTCATATTTAGTGTATAGACACAAGAAAGGTATCGATTTTCTCATCGACTTCTCCTCAACTCTAGACAAAAAAGTGAATTAGCACATTTCCCAAAATACCATTACATTTTAAATGCCAACCAAAGATAAACTGTACCTATATATTTCCAAAAGGCATAACCCATAAATCAACCATGCACGCACGCACACACACACACCACACACACACAAACACGTACCAGGCTGTAGATCATCTCATAGAGCACTGCTCCCAGACACCACCAGTCCACTGTCCTGTCATATGGTTCTTTACGAAGAACCTCTGGAGCCAAGTACTGCCGACAGAGAGATGGACAGAAAAGAGGAAAAAGAGTTAATGATTTAGGAGGAGATAGACAAGACTTACTAAACCTGACCTTTATAATTTGACTGCAAATTAGTATGTTTGAGTCGATAAAAGATTTAGATTCTACTCATCAATTAGAGTAAGCTCACCTCACCTCCAATGATCTGTTCAACCCATTTCAATCTGGTTTTCACTCACAACACAGCACAGAAACCTCCTCTCCTCAGATTTTGGCCACCTCAACATCCTCATCCTCCTTGACCTCACTGCAGCTTTTGACATCATCAACCGCACCATTCTCCTCTCCTTCCTTGAATCCTCTCTCAACATCACTGGTACAGCCCTCTCCTAGCTAATGTCATATCTCACAAACAGTTCATCAATATAATAACTGCACCTCCTCCACCGCTCCTCTGTCCCAAGGCATCCCCCAGGGTTCGGTGCTTGGTCCTCTCCTGTTCATTCTCTACATGCTCCCCCTTGGTAAGCTGATGACGTCCAACTCTACATCTCCACAAAATCCATCACAACTGCAACTCATCCCACTCTGACCAACTGCCTCACTGAAAAAAACTGAAAATAAACATGGATGCAAGCAGACTTCCTCAAACTAAACTGTGATAAATCAGACATGGTCATCACTGGTCCCAAATCGGTCACCAAAACCACTCACAATTTCTGCCTTCCTACAGACAACTCCCCCCGTCTTCCTCCCCACACACCTCGAAGTCAGAATATCCATCCAGAATGGACTACTGCAACAGCATTCTCTATGGCTCATCATCCAAAGTCCTGAACAAACTCCAGTATATCCAGAACTCTGCTGCTCGCCTGCTCACCCACTCTCACTCCTATGATACCTTCTTCCCATTTACAAAGCCCTCCATTACCAGGTCCCCTCCAACCTCACTGACCTTCTCCTCCACCACACTCCCTAACCCTAACCCTGGGGCAAGAGAGCCTTTTCCATAGCTGCCCCCTCCCTCTGGAACTCTCTCCCCAAACACATCAGAGACTGCACCGATCTGTCCATGTTCAAATCCCTAATCAAAACTCACTTCTTCAGAACTGCTTTTAATATGTAATAAGGTTGTATGCTGTATATTTTTAGTATGTTTCTGTGTTCATTTTAACTAATGTAAAGCATCTTTGTGTACTATGAAAAGGGCTATATAAATTAAATATACTATTATTATTTATTATTATTATATTTAAAATATTCTGACACTTGTAGGTGTCAGTGAAGTTTAAACATGAGTTATGTATCTTATATGACTTGATTTTTAGTATGTCTTTCTGATGTCCTTTTCCTAATTATATGTGTACTTTTTACTAACTTCTGGAGTCCCACAGAAAGTGGAAGTGGTTCCCTCTGGCTCTACACCCTCTTTGCACAGCCCAAAATCTGTTAGCACCACATGGCCCTGTACACAGAGAACACAAGCAGCCATTCTTCACACAATAGTGACAAATACAAATGAAGGAGTTAAAATTTACAATTTCAAAACACTTGACAAATCTGACTCACCTGAGAGTCTAAAAGAATATTCTCTGGTTTCAGATCTCTACAGTGAACACAAATGAGCATATTATCAGTGTAGATAGCAAAAATGAATCACTTGTGAATTTATCTCATATTTTAAGAAATATTTGAGCCTGTATGTGTGAGTCTGTCAGTCTGAGACCTGTAAACGATGTTGAGAGAGTGAAGGTAGCCTATAGCACTCGCTACCTCAGCGGTGTAGAACCTCGCTCTGGGCTCAGAGAAACATCTCTCTCTCTGCAGGTGGAAGAACAACTGCAGAGAGACAGAAAGAGATGGATGGATGGATGGATGGATGGATGGATGGATGGATGGATGGATGGATGGATGGATGGATGGACGGATAAAAAAGACATTTAAAAAGAGTTGATAGAAGAGGACAGAGAAATTACAGATAAGGAGACAGCCAAAATGACAGGGGAAGGGAGAGCAATGATTACACACATCATGCAAAACTAAATATTAATATAAACAAATAATAAATACTTTCAACCATTGTCTGGGCCAAAACACCTGACCAACAGCATAGCACCACAAAGAAAAGTTTGAGTGTTTGATAACAGTTCTGATGGCTGCATACCATTGAATTGTGTCTGTTTTTATTTGTTATTAGTGAATAAAGGATTACTTATTAAGACACTGTCATGGTGCAGTCTGCTGTGTCCTAGCTGAACAAAGCAATAACATGATATGATGTTAAACCAGTTCCACCTCCAGTTCATTCTAGGTTTGGACATCAACAGCTTTATAAACCTACACAGCAATGAATAATGTTATAGTTTTAATACTGTTGGCCCAGGAATTTATTTTAGAGGCTAGTTTAAGATGATAGCCTCATTTGTTTTGTTGTTTCTTTCTTATGGAGAATTCCATAAGGTAATGATACCATCTGCTGCTGGTAGCAGCTGTTTAGCCTAGCTTAGCAGAAAGACTGAAAGAAGGGGGAAACAACTAGCCTGCCTCTGATCAAAGGTATTTTTTGGTTTTTGTACAATTTAACAAACAAAATAGAGGTGGATCATTCGTCAGTGGATATATGGACAGATGCAGGTAGCTGTTTGATGTGAGAGTTGTATTAATTTTCTACAACAAATCAAATAGGCGTATTTCGTAAGTGTTGAACTTTTCGGACTATATTGTCAAATAATTAGTGACAGTTTGGTAGTTTGGTACAATTGTACAGACTGAGAAAATCATATACGTATATCTCACAATAAAGAAATCAATCCTGTTGCTTCCCGTCCAACTTGTTGTTACTGTGACATGGTAATCTGATGTTACTAGATGTCACAGGTAATCTGACTAACACACTATTAAGTCTACAAAGTGCTAATCTTATTGATAATTGCCTTGTTTATTATAGGAAACATTTAATGTCTGAAAGTGAGCATGATAGTGATTTATTGATAATGTACATAATGTAAGTGCTTTATATTCACAAAATACATGTGATGTAAAAACAAAGTCTATTGATGTTATTCATTTATTCATGTTCATGTATATACTTTTTTAGTTTAAGACATGTACCTCTCCCCCATTCACATAATCGAGGACAAAGTAGAGTTTCTCTGGGGTTTGGAAGGAGTAGTGGAGCCGAACCAAAAACGGGTGTTTCAAACTCTTGAGCAGCACATTTCTCTCAGCCATAATGTTTTTTTGCTAAAGAGAGACAAGAGAAAAAGGAGAAACAGAATAAAGGTAGAGAAGGGAACAAACACACCTTTGCTAGCTTGCATTTTTTTGTGTTATGTGTAAGTGTTGTTAATACATATAAATCAGGGACCATGAGAGGAGCGCTAATAGTGATTGAATGATTTCTTCCTTATCTGTGTGAAATCACTGGAGTTATATACCACGGTTGCTGTAATGCCTTTTTCAGTCAATGGTTTCACAACATCACCAGCTTAGTGTCTGGGATAGCACACAACATTATAGATTAAAAATTCCAAGTCTATTTATGAAATAAGATGAATGCACAATCAGAAATATCAACAGTGTACCCAAGAGAAAGCTAACAAGATGAAGCTGCTAACTACAAGATTACAGTATTTGTGTGTGCAGAGAGAAAAAACTGAATGTGGAGAAGCAAAGAGGCTGAGGAAGAGGATGAGCAGGAGAGAAGGTAGTGAGGAGGAGGTGTGAAGATGTGTGAGAGGATAGAGTGGAGGCATCAAAGAGAGGAATTACAAGGGAAATGTGAGGAGAAGAGTAGGATCACAAGCATGAAGAGATGAGGAGGAGACAAAGCAATATTTAACCAGACGAACCAAGAGCAAACTATCTCTTCATGTTGGCATCACCTCCAGGCTGTGTGAGAGAAACTACAAAACTCTGATGTGCCAGTGAGATGGAGATGAGTATATGCCACAAATATCCCAGTCATAGAGAAAATACATATTTCCAAACAAATTGAAGTGTATTTGCTGTGGTGGTTTGTGGGACATAGTTCAATTTGAGAGCAACATGTATTGGTTTCTTGTCAGCAGCAGGTGGAGGCTACTGTCACTTGACAAGAGCTTCAGCCCTCTTTGTCTGTATAATACAAGAGGTTATAATACATCCTGTGAGCAGTGTTATGTCTTCAGGACAGATTGGAGGCTAGTGAGTCACTATTGGAGAGGGTGAGACAGGCTGGAGTGGGCCAGGGCTAGCTAATTAGCATGCTAACTTCAGTAGAAGAAAAGAAGTTGAAGAAACAAGAAGAAACATGAGTTAACATTGGAGTACCTTTCCACTGCTGGAGACAGCTGTTGGAGAGTAAAGAAATGAAGTTTGATGCTGAACTCGCAATCTTTTCTCTAGACTGATAAGTAAACAGCTGCTAAGGCTAATGTTGGCTATGTAGCAATAGCAAAACATAGCCCCATTAAGCACTAAAACACAGTGTTTTAGCTGACAAAATGCAATAGATACCCTCATTTGTTAAATCTTTGCATACTCTGCGTTCTAATGTCTGTAGTTTGGATTTGTTTTTTCTATTTTTAAAAATTATTATTATGATTTATTATGTTTGAAATATACATTTTGATTTGAATTGTTTTTATCATTTTCAGTACAAGCAAGGACATTTTGAGTTTCTTTTAAAAAAGTCACATTTTCTATTTCAATATCTTAATATATCTATCTATATATATATAGATATATATATATATATATATATATAGATAGATATATATAATTACATTTACACACAACAAAAAAAGGTTCCACACTATTTTAACACTGTCCTAAAAATAAACTGGATTTGTCAAGTCGAGTCTGTACAGTCTAGACCTGCTCTATTTGAAAAGTGCCTTGAGATTACTAATGTTCTTTTTTTTTTTTTTTTTTTTTTTTTTTAATAATTCTTCATTTAAAGGCAAAATGAATCACAAAAGCTTTCTAACCACTGAGGAGAAATGTCTGGGTTTTACAGGAGATCTTTACTGTGTAATAATAGTCTAATTGGCGTTTCAAAGAAATGCTGAATCTATGTAATTATTTGGATAAAAACTGGAATTAAAATGAAGTAAATGACAGTTAATCAGCCTGTGAGTGGCAAACAAATGCGCCATGCAGCTCAGTTAGAAGTCAGGACACATTAATGAGGGAAATGTCATTTAGATTTAGAGGACTGACGTTGTAATTTAAGTTTCAGAAAATTACAGGAGGAATGAAATGGATTAACCATCTCTGTTCATAAAGCCACATAACGCTTCAACTTGAGCAAGAAGCAAATGCTCCAAATGAAAGGACAACAACCGTCTGGACAGAATCTCTTTCAGTTGTTGGATGAACACACAAGTGGCTCAGTTTGTTTTCCTGGAGTCGTAAAATATGTCCTTTGTACAGAACAAGCTGTAGATAAGATAAGATTCAGATCATGTTGCTGGGTCAAAACACTGTTTACTAATAACACTCAAAGATACTTACACACACTACACATACTACACACATTTTCTTTTGGTTCAAGTTGGGAAATTTTCCACCGTCGTCTACTTTACCCTGGCACATCAGAGCACTGTGTAGTTCAAAATAAATTCATTTATTCTGAAGGATTTCCTGGTTATAAACCCGATAAAAAATCATGTCTTAATCACTTGACGGTTTAGTTCATATGTTTAGAGGCAGCAGTATATTTATAATTTTCAAATTATTTTGATCTGATGGGATTCAAATGAAAAGTTAATTTTTTAAGCCACAACAGTGCGTTTCTGAAAATCATATTCATGAAGCATCTTAAGGCTAAAAGTAGCTCCTAACTTGCCAATTTAGGAAAAACTTTGAGAAACTGTGTCTGCCCTAACTTTAGGACTCCTAGAAGTCCTAGTAAGCCACTTAGCGCTAAAAGTAGCACCTAAGCCTGGGAGAAGTTAGAAATAGTGGAAAGAACTCCTAACCCACTGAGACCAAATCACAAAGAATCATAAAGGGCTGCTGTCATTCCACGTTGCAGTGTTTTGGAAACCTTAAACGATGTTGAATTACTTAAAAGATACAAACTCAATCACAAGGGAAAAATTATCATTGTGGAGTTTGTGAAGGATTAAGTAACATCTCCAACCAACTGAAACAACCCGATAAGTGCAGAAATTAAGTATTTGGCAATGTTGTGCTAGTTGGCAACCAAGCTGCAACCTCTGAGGTTGAAAAATGAAGCCAACATGGAAGAACCAAAAACTGCATTTCTCTGAATGGCTGCTTGAAAGCTCCAAAAGCAAGTCAATCCCCCCAACTTTACTGCAGAAATAAACATGTTTACAGTCTGGTACAAAAATCAGTTTTGGTCTCCATAGCTAATTTCCTCCTTCATGACAACTGTACACAGGGTGAATTTTTATATAACTCATTCATTTTAATTTTATTAAGGCTTAAAGTTCTGCACAATTAAGGGCATGCCGCTTTGAGTGATAGGCGGGTGAGTGTATGCCTGCCACAAGCCAACATGAACCCGAAGTCTCAGTTTGACACGCGTCCTCTTCCTTTCCTATTTTTGGATTAGCCAGGAGTTCGGCGGAGTCAGGTAATGGCAAGATGGCGACGGCGGTACGGCCCCTCTGAGCTTCAAAACCACTCTTCAGCAACCTATGGGTGACATCATGGAGACTACATCCATCTTTATTTACAGTCTATGTTGGCAACAGAAAAAAGCCAATCTATTCACCTAATAATAAATGCGCTCTGACCTGACATCATAGGACAATTTCTTTTAGATGTTCAACAACTACAGAGAAATAAAGCAGCTTCATGGTCAGTCTACCCGCTGTGATCGGTGCCAGAGATAGAACGCATATAAAAATTATTGCACCATCGCAAGACAAGGAGGGATTTGTAAACAAGAAAACAAAATCACACCATCAACACACAGGTTGTAGTGGATGCTGCCTGTACAGCAACATTGTTGTACAGTGTCCAGGATCTACACACAAGTCATGGATCTTAATGGAGAGTGACCTGAGGCAGCTGTTTGAAAGGATTATATTCCAGCTGGATGTCACCTGGTGGGGGACAAGGGAAATCTTCAGACACCTCAACCCACAGCCGGGACTACAGCTACATTACAGTGAATATATAGTAAAATTAAATTCTCCTGGGTTGACACAAACCTCATCATACGGATGCATTTTGGACAACGCACTACTAAATAGCACCTAATCCGTCATTATTTAATTTGTATTTGTTTATTTCTCAGTGGTCTTTTTATTATCTCTGCAGGATGTTGCGCATTCGTTTTCACTGGTACAGGCGGTCTTTCATCAACCAAGCGCTGTGGTTCCTGCAAGCACCATAGCAATGGAGTTGCACTCTTAGCTTGGGAGTTTTCGCTTTTTCTTAGTAAAAGTTGGTCTCAGCAGCTTTGTGAATAGGATTTAGAGAAAAGTTTTAGGTAAAAACTTTTAGCATGACTAATGCTTTGTGAATATGGGCCCTGAGCATTAGTGTTGTTTGGTTGCGGTTCATGAAGAAATAATAAATTCAGAAAGGAACAGCTGAGCTGAGATTGGAAATGTCCAAAAGCCCACCTCTTTCTTCTTCAGGATGACTTTCTTCTGCAGCACTTTGATAGCGTAGAATTTGTTGTCGGCTTTGAGCTTGGCGAGCAGGACCTGCATAAAGGTTTGTTTGTGAGTGATTTGTTTGGTAAACAGTCTCTGCCACCATCTCCACACACGCATCAAACCTCTGAGAACAGCACATACAACACAGATATGTGATCTGTGCAAACAGATGATACTGAGAAATCTGAGAAGTGTTTGATACAAAGACTTCACCTTAAACAGGATTAACATAATTTTCATGTTTAAATATAAACCTGTCAACAAAGCAAAGAATTCATATTAAGAGTTTATTGTATTCTTTATGTGAAACACTCCTTTGGTGCCATTTTACTGGCATTGTATTAGTAATTTGTTGTTCCATTGACTGGGTGATGTTCAGGTAACCTTAAAAGGCCTAAATGGATTGTAAAGTTAATAATTCATGAAGCAGACAGTACATTTTGATCAGACAGAAGTCAGCACGTAGACTCTCTTTGACCCTGTCACCAATCTCTCTCCCTCTTTCTACTACAATAAAATCGCTGCTGCAAACTGGATCCACAGAGAGGAACTCTTAATCTATATGACCCACCATTAATACCTGCTAAAGAATTTATCATTTGATGTAACGTAACCCCATGCCAGATTGAGAAGTTTCTCCTGACGCATATGTGAAGTGAATCAGTTACAATAAGGAAGCCTCTGAGAGAAAAATGTTTTCAATGGAGAGACAGATGAATAAGTAATTGTTTCAGTGTTACCTTTCCAAAGGTCCCTTTGCCAATGACAGCCAAGAAGTCAAAGTCAGTGGGCCTGGCACTGACACAAGAGAGAGAGAGAGTAATCTATGAAATGCATTTACAATATTAGCACTGTATTTGCAATAACTTACAAATGCTGGAAAAGTCACCAGCAAGTCATTTGTTAAACTGGCCCTTCTCACAAAAGTGGTGTTTTCTTCAAGAATGTTCTGATGCATAAAACACAGAATATAAACACAGAATATAAACAGTCATTAATGATGGTGTTTGTTGGAGTTTTACTAAATTGAGTCACAGGATTTTCTCAGAAGGATCAATAGCAAAGAAACGCCACCAGCAAAGACAGTAACATTCTGTTTTTGCTGGACTGGTATCTGTATAGTTGTGTGTTACAATAAAAACAGTTACATGCTGGTGCCATGAGAGCAGAGCTACTGACTGTGGGTTTGCTGAAGGTCCCAGATTGATGTCATCATGAGGAGAGGAGGACGGTGAGCGCAACTGGAAGAAGATAAAACACAAGTCAACAAAATTAAAGAAATCTGCACTTTGCATTGATTTGTCTAATTAAAGATACATAACCAATAAATAAGTGGTATTTAAAGACAATCACTTTCATTCACATGCACCATTGAGCAGCAGCAGTGACAGTGACAATGTTGATATAAATATTGAGCCTAAAGATAAAACATGAAAATCTGAGTCACATCGCAGCATATGACTGTGCAGCTACAGACCCCCTGATGAAAACCTCTCACTGCTGGAGATCATCTATTTGATATATTTCATGCATTCCACACAGTTGTCACCCAATTCAATTATAACAGTGGTGGAGAAATAAGATGACATGACATAGAATCATGTTTAGAGAATAACCCAAAACCGGATCACTGGGATGTAGTTTGTTCACATTCGGACATTTGTTAAACAAACAACCTCTTTTAAATCTGGAGTTAGGCATCAGATGTTTCCTCTGTCACATGGTTAAACCGCCCAGAGTCAAACAAATTCAAATCTAGGAACAAGTAACATAAAAGAGACAGTGTCAAAACTCAGCTCAAATATACTCACATTACTGTGTGCCATAGCTATTATCCATTCCACTGCCACTGAGAGAATAGGAGAGGAGAGGAGATGAAGAGAGAGGAGAAGAGGAGAGGAGAGGAGAGGAGGTCAGAAACTGTTGAAGTTTCTGATTCTAACCTACAACTCTCTTCTCAAGAGAGTCATAAAAAGCTTGGGGTGTGTGTGTGTGTGTGTGTGTGTGTGTGTGTGTGTGTGTGTGTGTGTTTCCGAGTCATCAGCTGCTGACCTCAGTGTGACAACCTGAGGATCTAGAGGAGCTGGTAGTTCTGGTTTGTAGAGAACAAGATGCTGGAACAACAGAAACACAAAGAAGGATATTGTGTGTGTGTGTGTGTGTGTGTGTGTGTATGTGTGTGTGCGTGTGTGTGTGTGTGTGTGTGTGTGTGTGTAAAAATGAAATAAAGGTCCTGATTACTTGAGCTGAAGCTCTATACTTTGGATCTACAGTATATTAATCAATCCTGGCAGCCACAAAAATATGATGAAAATAAGATTTTATCCTGAATATTCAAAAACCCTGACACTCATGGAGATCATTAGTTTTAATGTCTGTGCAACATGTTTTAATGTCTGTGCAACATCTGGGCATTATCTAAATCTATTTGGTATATGTTCCTTTCACTAAGACTTTTTGAATTACAGTGCTGTTTAAATCATTTGAAATGGTCCAAATTGTTCTCATGTTTATGGCAGTCTGTCCACATTTACCTTTATACATCTACCTAAAGAAAACACCTTACTGACATGTAATTCAAAAAGGTGAATACATAAGATATACTATAAAGTAAAAGCATGTTCATTGTTGACTTTGGAGTTTTGATAAAGACACTGCAAGTCAAAAATAAAATGCAACTCCTGAATAGGCTTTCAAGTCATAGTGAATTAATCTGAGACCTCAAAGCAAAGGTTTCTTAATAAATAAGGGGAAATGTCAGCAAGTTAAAACCATCACCCACTCCAAAGTTATAAATTATGATAACATAACAATGATCTTCCACAGGCAAGTAAAGCTGCTTATTATTTGCCAGTAACATTAAGGGAAAACCTCCTGAGGCAAACAGCTGTTCTCTGTCCAAAGGTTTATTCCTCAGAGTGAGCACGAGACTCTGAATCACAAAATCACACCAAACTCCAAAAACCGGCTGCAGTGCAATCAGACAAGAAAAGCTTTCTTTCACAGCCTTGAACCCCAAACAGAAAAGATCCATAATCTGCACATTTTTTTCAGGAATAATCTGTATAAAAGTATCAGTGCCACAAGTCAAATTTAAATATTTATTTACTACAGCACCTTTTTAATAATATTAAGTATTTTCATCAAAAAATAATTCAAGTGGTTTCTCAGTACAGATTGGATAACCTACAAAAATATGACTATGAATCCAATATAAACCTATATCAGCCTAAAAGTGATATCACAGGGAGCTCAATATCCTGAGGTCATTATAAACACTATAAGTATCTCAGATGTCTGTCCTGGATTGCGCTGTAATGCAGCAGCACAATAAGGCTCTTAGCATGCTGCTTTAACAGAACCCTTTCAAAAAGACCTTACCAACACAAGCAGAACATGCAGAAAACAATCTCTGTAATTTAGGAATAAACAAGCACCACATAGATAATCCAGGTGACCACTTTGCTCACCTGTGTGCAGAGAATGAGGAGGTCAGTGTGCAGGCAGTGTGTTCAGTTCAGGAACCTGAAGGGATTCAAAACAGACTGAGAGTGCAGGAGGCTGAGGTCAGTTCAGGAAGGTCAACTTCCTGAGAGTGAATCATTGATGAAGAGTTCCAGAGTTTAAAAGTGAGGTGGAGCAAGCAAGGCTTCAGGGTGTCAGTGAGGGGCGGTGTATGTGTGCCTAAACTACTCCACTCGGCTCTTTCAAAATAAGGCAAGTAGCAAGTAATTATTTTGTCTTTGTTTATCTATGTACTGTATATTTCTGTTGCACAAACACAGAGAGCTTTCTAAAATATATAAATACAAATACAATACACACAACAACGGACTCTGCTCTCACACTTATTTCAAATGAGCAACTTCACAGGTGTACTTTAGTAATTAGTAATTTACTCTTTAATTGTACTAAAGTAATTTTAAGTACTTTTTTAAGTATATTTATATATATATATATATATATAAATATGTGTGTGTGTGTGTGTGTGTGTGTGTATGCGTATGTATACATGTATATCAAAGGTTTAACTGCTAAAAACAAGATGTCTCTATGAGGTGCACTTAAGGTTCACTGTATTCACTGGCTTTTAAAGTAGTTGTCATGTCACAAAACACTCCTGTAATTACTCCTCTTAAACTTGCTTTGTGTTGAGCACAGAGAAACTTTCCTCTGTCAGCAAGTGAATGGAGAAAAGCCTTAGTGTCAAACTCTGCACATACATGATTCTGCACAGTTAAGCTCAAAAATCCAAGTGAAGTAACAATAAGCAGAACACACTATTAACAGAGGCTGACTTGGAACTTTTCCACTTCTGCAAATAAGCATACTTTTATTTTGAAAGCCAGTCTTCTTAGCATCCTCCTTCCAAAGAATAAGAAACAAGTCATGCACAACTGTTGTACCTTCTTGTATGAAACATTTACCACCCAACAGTCAATTGAGTACTTTCATTTTGCTGCATCAGGCTGCAGCAGCAGGTTATCAGCCACACTTGTTTTTCTGGCCTCTGCAGTGGAACATGAAGATAAGCAGTGAGAGTAAAAAGGGCGTGAAAGGAGTTGCCACCACCACCACAGCCAACTGTTGACAACAATATGGTTGATAGGGGATGTGATACAAGCAAAGTTAGTTTATAGTCAATAGCACAGCGCACAGAAGACACCTGTGCAAGCACAGGAAATGCAGTGTGTGATCCCTCAAATCAGACAAGAATCAGAGACATGAATCAGACAAGACAGCTTTGGACGTTTATTAATTCATGTGGATTGAATGACATTTGTGACCGAAAATTATCTTGACACGCACACACACGCGCATACACAAATCCCACCAGAGAGACACACAGAGAAGTCAAATTCGAGATTCCAGGAGCCCTTAAAACTTTCCAGTAAAATTGCTTTCATCTCACAATACCAAATCTAAACATTATTTTTTAAGCTATTCTGACATAAAATGTAAACATTTCAAAGAACACACTGTAAATGGAGTTTCCATCATATGTAAACTGTAGAGAACTCCATTGACTAGATATCAAGTCCATGTTTATAGTGCTAAAATGTGTTTTTTTGCACTCTCTAGTGACCAAGTGTGGGAATATCATAGTATGAAATCCATTTGGGTTTCATAGTTGTGCTAAAATGCCAATGCAAAATGTACTTTTCATATATTAAGAATTGCTAAAAAATAATTTATAATCTTTTGCATATAGAGATAAAAACTAAAACACTGTGTTACTTCTGTTTCTTGATTCTCTGATTATTTATCAGAGGGTAACATTTTAAATTACAGCTCCCGTGTTTTTACAATAATGGTGCATTGAGAAAGAACAATGTGGAGAATTTCAAGGCAGTGAACACAAGTGAGTAATACTTAAGAACAATCAGACAACCCAGGCTGGGGTCAATGTTTTCTCTCATCTGTCAAAACCCTCAACCTTTTTCCAACAGTCTGAACAAAGCAAGTGTATTTATTTTTTTCCACTGTATTGTGTTATAGTAATAGAATTAGTCTGATAAATAAAGGAGCTGTAATATTAAGTGTTACTGAATACAGTACTTCTGTCTTAACTTTTTTTATTGCACAAAATTTGAAGCTTGTAGGAGCCTCACTGACCAGCCTCAGCCACTGTATTTCACTCTTCTTAGTTTTCGGTCACATGGCCATCTGCCCACAGTCCTCCCGTTTCTTTAGTCAACATTTATATTTTCCTCAGTTCCTATTAGTAAATCTGTTTTAGTATTTTTAACTGATGGTTTTGTCCAAATCTTTGTAGAGTACTTGTGAAAATTTGGTCATATGTAAAATGGGTCCACCTGTGAAAGGTGATTACAGTTCCAGCTGACTGTGTAAACAGCTTACATTAACAGGAATGAAACTTATTCAGGAAGTAAATGTACTAATTGTATTGATTTCCGAGTATCTCCAGTGCGGGTGTGAGTGGCTACAGAAGCCGGTAACACAACAGTTGTGTAGTCAAAACAATGACGATGTTCAGTGGTTTGGTAATAATCAAATCCCAATACTGAACCAAATGCATCAGCCGGAAAACTCCTGATGTTCCTCCTCACGTGCTTCAGGCTGCATATATCCACCTTCCAGTTTGTCCATTATCTTCATGACATTCCTCCATTACTCCCTACAAATATCTGTATTTCCTAATTTCCCTTCTTCTAACCTCTCCTTTTTTCCTCCTTTACCCTGACTGGACATTACCCCCAACCCACCCCCCACCCCTCCCTCTCTCTGATGGGTACAGGACACCAAACACATGAAAAGGGGGTCAGGGCCTTTTCCCTGCAAGAGAATGAATTTGGCACATGATGATTGGCGGCTTAACGACCCCTGTGAAAGAGGGCAAGATCACTTGAGTCCCTCATCTGTGCTCTTGAACATGAGAATGGCGTTGGAGATTTTGAGGGCGGGGCCAAGTTTGATGCTCATGATCTTCACAATGTCGGTCTGAGTGAGCAGCAGGAAGGCCTCCCCATCAATCATCTGAGGGGACATAGACAACAGTGGTGATGTGACTGGTCATCCTCATGAAGGGGTGGACAAAATAACAGAAATGTATTTATTATTATTATTATTATATTTATACAACAAAGTAGAATTGAAAGAGTCCTGAGTCAGTCTGGTGAAGATGATCATGGTCCGTTGTCTTTGAGATAACAGGTGTATCTGACACCATAGCTTCTAGTGTTAAATCAATGTTATTATATTAATGGATCACATGACTATTTGTATTGAAAAGGCGTCCCTCGTAGTGACAAATCCTGAGAGAAATGTAGCTGCAAGTAGCAATGTGGTGGCCAGGGAGTCCCGCAAGCCAGAGTTGTCATAGCAACATGGTTGATTAAAGATTGGCTGAGATATGACTTCATTTCTTGTTACTTCAACTGAAATAATAATGTTTGAATTCTTTCAAAAATTAAAAATCCCTGTCATCATTTTTGTGAGTCTTAAAGTTCTTTGGTAAAGACTTTGGAGGAGACTTTGATGCCAGTGATTTTGGCCTTTCCCAAAGTGGGCTTCCGAAACCATGTACCAAGTTTGGTCTACATACATAGAAGCTGTTGCTGACATATGACCTCACTTCCTATTTGGTGGCTTTGCTGAAGTTTTTGTGACGGATGAACGCTTTTGAAAATCAAAAATCCTTGTGATAACTTTTGTGAAACTTGTCTTGAAGATCATTAGTGGAGAATGGACAAAGTTTGTCTGGGAAGCAGCGTTTAACTAGGCTTGATCCTGGGAATCCAATGATACCTCATTTTTGAAAATTGAGCATATGAAAAAGGGATTGGGTTGACAGATGGGACAGATTTTTTTTTACAGTACATTCTCCTCCAGCAAACGTGGGGTTATCATTTTGATATGCAAAAATGTAGTCACCAAGGTTTATGAGCTGAAAACAGACTCAGAGGGACGATGTGTAGCTCTGGACATAGACATAATGGGGAGAAGATGTGATACTTGCTGGTCATTTAATATATCACAGCTACAAAATAAACCGTCATTTCATTAGACAACAAATATTAGAATACTATGAAATTAATGAACAGTAAATAATCCAGAAGTGGCCTGGGAAGCATTTAAGGCATATCTGAGGGATAGATTAATACAGCATTCCTCTTACTTAAAAAAGCAGGCATCTCAGCGACTTTCTAAATTGGAAATTAAAATAAAGGACCGTGAGAATAAATTTGCAGATAGTGAGGATCTGACTGTATTCGCCAGATTAAGCAGGGCAAAGGTTGAGTTAAATACCATCAGAAAAGAGCAGAGTTTTCATTGTTCAGATGCAGGCAAAAATATTATGAGCAAGGAGAAGGGGCAGGAAGGCTATGGCTTAGAGGGTGAAACAATGACACGCCCAAACTGGGGGGGTGAGGGGGTGGATTTCTGAAAAATTTCTATGAGGTGTTTTCAGATTTGTTGGCCCTGAAGCTTCTCACTGTTTTTCAGGATGCGTTCTACAGGGGAAGCTTACCAGAGAGTATGCAGGATGCAATAATAACATTAATTCATAACAAAGGTAAAGACCCGCTGCTGTGTGACAGTTACAGACCAGTGTCCAGTTAATGTGGATGCAAAAATTTTAGCTAAGATTTTAGCAACAAGATTAGAGGGGTACCTGCCCACACTGATTCATCCAGATCAGGTAGGCTTCATTAAGGGCTGAACATTAGCAGATAATTTACGTAGGCTCTTGCATCTTGCATGGCAAGCGAGGAACAGTGCTGAATCGTGGTGGCTTTCTCTCAGGATGTAGAAAAGGCATTCGACAGAGTTGAGTGGGAGTATTGTTTGCAATACTTGAACAGCTTGGGCTGGATTGGTCATATATTAAATGGGTAAAGCTGCTTTATGAATGCCCCAGGGCATCTGTCATCATGAACGGGAATATTTCTGCCCCCTTTTACACAGGGCCAGAAAGGATTGCCCCCTCTCTCCGCTGATGTTTACTCTAAAGAGAAAAGACTGTTGGAACCCTTCTCAATACAGGCTTTTCTTACTCAGACAGGAGGGGATATACCATATAGGAACCCTGTTCTGGCATTTGCTAGAGATAGCTGGAGAAAGGCCAGTCTGGTATGTAACATCAATCCCTATGATACTAAAGGATCATTAATATGGTACGATAAGTCATTGAAAATTGATAAAAATCTATTTTCTGGGAAATTTGGGTAAGAGCGGGAATAATGCTGATCTGTTTGACGAGAATCATTTGCCAAATATAATATACCCAGGAAAGATTTTTGGAAGTTTATTTAATTGAGTAGTTGTATTATGACTGTAGATAGAAAGAAAAAGCTTACCCCTGTTCTTTGTATCCAGGTGTTTTGACGTTTAAATTGGAAACTTTGAGGGGGACATCTAGGTTTTATAGTCTGCTTAGAAAACACCAATTCCCAAACAACAATGGTGTCAAGAACACTTGGGAAAAAGATCTTGGAATATCCATTCACAGTGAGGCTTAGAGCAAGGTGGTAAAATCTTGGTTTTCCATAGCCCAGGACATGCAGACACGCCTTATCTTTTTTAGAATATTGAATAGGAATTATTGGACCCCATCAAAAATGTCAAGGTTGGGGCTTAGGAATGATGATACATGTTGGAGATACAACAAAGGCAGGGGCACACTGTTTCATATGCTATATGAATGTGAAATGGTGCATAACATAATAAACATAATAATGGTCAGAAATAGTCAACTGCATTAATAACATATTAGAGGTAATCCAGCATTATGCATATTGGGTATTTTGCCTGTGGAAGTTAATTTGTCATCAAAGTTGTGTTGCTGGGTGAAACTGGCCTTGATAACAGGGAGCAGAATTTAGAGAGATTTAAGGCATTGAAAATCAAAAGAGCATATCAGTTTTAATGAATGGAGGGACAAATTGGCTAATATGGCTTCCTATGAGCAGCTTATCCACAGGGCTAATAACAGTCTTGATGTATTTAGGAAGCTATTGGGCCCGTCTTTGAGTGCAATAAGTAGAGGTAATTGCCAGTATGTTCAGGTATCCCATCTCTACTCTTTTTGAATCATATAAGTATCTATGCTCAATGGACTGAAATGAAGTGCAATATGGAGGTCTAATAGCCTGCATCACACGCTGAAATATGTGCATGTTGTGTTCTTATTTCATTTTGTTTATATATATATATATATATATATATAATTTTTTTTTTATTTCCTTTTTTGTTACCTTATATTCTATATGCGTGAATTTCTTTTTGTCTTTAATGTATGTCTGTAAACTGAAAAAAGCAATAAAGAGGTTCAATCATAAAAAAAAGAAAAAAAGAGCAAACAAAGAGAAAACAAACTTTAGGTGTGAAAACACACTAACTGACTGTTGTTTAGAACTATAAAATGTTTTCACTACACTCTTTGCTACAGTGCAACATGTCATGTGAACTTTGTGTGAATAAACCTAAAATTAATTGGGAAACATTTAGTGATCTCACCTCTTCTTTGAAGAGACGAGCCTGTTCTTCACAACCAATTAGATTCTGGACAAACCTGAAGACCTGCAGTGCAGAATTCAGAAGTTGAACTATCAAAACAACCACAAACATTATAGAAAGAAAATAAATAAATATGAAGGTAAGGGATAATATTTGCTGACCTCTTCAACACTCCATGCTGCCACCTGGCTGGCGTGTATGCCTTGAACGCCGGGCAGCAGCTTACAGTGCTGCTCCCAGCACAGAGACAGAGTCCTGTCCGCCTGACTGCTCAGAGCCGACATGAACAGTGACGGATACACGCCCTCTGAGGACATGTCTCAGGGCAAACACACACAAAAATATGATTGGTTGACACACAAAAACATGTTTTCTTCACAACAGACATTTTGATACATCATAGCAAGAAAAGCACAGGTGTAAAACAGCCTGGCTTAAATGAAACAGATCAGTATTAGTTCCACCTCTGCTTTTCCTACTATGACAAGTCAAAATATCTGCAGAATTTTCCAATTTGACTATTATGTACCAAAAAAATTTACAACTGTAGGATATGCACAGTGCATTTAGAAAACTTACTCTGGTAGTCTCTCTGCTGGTTCTTCCTGTATTTGGGAGGACGACCAATCCTGAAACCAGAGGAAAAGATTAGTGTGAAACAAATTCAAACCTGGACACACACACACACACACACACACACACACACACACAAACACACACACACACACACACACACACACACACCCACCCTTACCTGCCACGGTAATGGTTCTTCTTGGTCCTCTGGCCAAAAAAGAGGTTCCTCTTACACTCTGAGTCTGACAGGTCAGCCTTCAGCCTGCCCTGGTTACGCTCAGCCAGTGGGCAGCCGGATATGCAGTGATGGGCAGTGAAACGACCGGTCACGTGGCCTGAACCATCACAACCAGGAGTTGGACACTTCCTGTTTCAAAGACAGATGCCCACAGTCTAATTGGCCTTAGTGCATTTTAAGATCTACAATCACATATAATTTCAGAAATGTTTTTCAGGTTTTTTATGGCCTAAAATTGGTATGATGTGTATTTTCAATGGTATCATTTAAATCAATGATCAATCAAATGACCTGATAATAGAACTGAGTTGAGTGCTGACCTGTTGTGGAAGCTGTACTTGTTGGTTCTGGGGTGGCTGATGGGTTTGCAAGGAACAGAGGAGGGGTAGGTGGACTGGCCCATAGCAGGAGGCTCCCTCACTCCTATGTACATACAAATACAGACAGATGAATACACACACACACACACACACACACACACACACACACACACACACACACACACACACACACACACACACACAGCAACATGGTCACAAACCCTCCTCAAGCACTGTACTGTATCAGATAATGCCTGTAAGAAGTTATGCAGATCTTTTTCACAGCAGATATTTTGACTTGAGGAACAGAACAGTTGTTTATAATAACTTCAATGATGGCTGTTCAGTTCAAGTGTTACATCCAGCCATGACACAATATGTGGATTGTGCTACATGGAATTCAGCCATTTTTATTATTTACATCTGTGCTTTCTCTAAATCTAAAGTCTAATCAGTTCGTCCTTGAGTCCAAGTGAATGTTTGTGCCAAATTTGAAGAAATTCCATCACGGCGTTACTGAGATATCGTGTCCACGAGAATGGGACATATGGACGGACAACCTGAGAACAATATGGCTCCAGCTCTGACTGTTGCCGACACAGAGGAATAAAAATAGGAATGAATAATCATTGTAATAAAATTAATAAATTAATCCATCGGTACATCGATCAAAGGATAGATCAGGAAGGATTACAAATAACAACATGGGTGTAACAATAAAAAAAGTCAATAGCAATAGAGTAAATGGTGGAATTTATAATTTATGGCAGGATAGTGAGAAATATATTGGTGTATTAACAGAATTCAACTGCAAACAATGACAGTTGCATAAATACAGAAAAGTATATAAAATAGGATTTACAAAAGTCATTTCATTTAGCATTTTAATCAATAGAGCACAAAATATTTTTGTTACAATTTTTCATGCTATCAAGAATAATTTTGATTTGTGTTTTGCAGAAAAGTGACTTCCAGCTTTCAATGAAGTACAAACAGAGTGCAGTTTTGTAGTTGCTACCGTGTGGCTGTTGTGTTTTGGGGTCCCGTGGGGGAACTTTCAGTGGGTGACTGGTCGCTTCACACCAGCCTGCTGGATGTATGTCTGGGTGATCTGAGTCCATCCATTCATCATAGACATGACTCCAGCCATCATAATGAACCTGAAGGAGCAACAGAGATGGACAGAGCTGTAACACATAGAAATACTGCACATGCACCTACACAGCCCATCTGTAGAATAGTTACATGGTTGGTTTGCAAAGATGTAGATTATAATATCAGCACATTTAAGCACACTCGAGGAGCTGTAAAAACATTGTACACACTATCACACACATACAAGATAATACAATTCAAAACGTCAGACATTAGTACTTAAATGTCCAGGACACACACACACACACACACACACACTATCACTTAGTATTACCTTAATGCGGTGAGTCTCGACCTCCTCCACTGTGGCCACCCTGATCAGGCCGGGACTTCTCTTGTCCACAGCCTCCAGTTTCATCTGAGTTTGGAAGCTGTGGGCCACACGCTGCAGACAGAGCAGAGAATGAGGGGAAAACACCTTCAATCATTCTTTCAATAAAGCATTCTAAATTGATAATATTTAAAGTTATAATCTGTAACTTTTCCACATTAAAATCTAATCTAAAGTCTAATAATGAGTATGAGCATATGGTAATGCACTGTGTCATGTGGTCTCCTGTCAATGACATCATATCCTCTATGATCATGTGTCAGTGTAGTGGTTTCCCGCCAGAAGCTCAACATTGACTTACATCCACTTTTTTATACCTTGGTGGTTTTCAACTCTATATTTGAACCAGATGATTTTAGTCATCAGACGACTGGATCTGAAGTTATCAGAGAAACAAGCTGAGTAAGCTCAGCTCAGCTCCCAGCCGCTGGAGATGTCTGTCCTGTCTTCACTGAAGAGCGTCAGTGAATCTCTGATTTTGAGTGAAACTGTTTTCTTGGTATTTCTACTGGTTTTAATCCCCTGGTCTGTTTGTTATGGAAGGAGGACACTTCTGTTGATAATTCAGCTGATGGAAAAAAGCCTGCTGAACGTCTGGTTCATAAGTTATCAGAGAAACAAGCAAAAGAAAGGTTAACATCAATCTCAGCTCCAGCTCTTCCTTGTTAAAGTGGAGAGATGACAGGAAATGGGGAGAGGGCTGCAACACTCAAACCAGGGATGTTGCTATTCATGGTCAGAATCTTAAGGTGTTTTAATACCACTTCAAAGTTGTTTTGTAATCAATTCACGTGCATTAGCATCTGCTATGAAAAAGTCACACCTAAACTGTGTCTAATGTACAGTACCTTCGGCTACAGTTGTGATGACATTCATGATATTGTGTAAGTAACTTATATGTTGTGACAAACCATGTATCTCATTATTTCAAATTACTCAGACTCCCACACTGTTGCTGTCAGCTCATACCACAGAACCATACTGCAGTTCAACTGGATTCATGCTGTGAATTAAACACATTTTTTCTTTGTTCTCACCACTTTAAAGGCATCTGCAGCCACCGCCTTAGAACCAGTCTCTTCTAGGTAGTGAGACCAGGAGAACCGGCCCTGGTCTGGGTAATCTGGTGAAGCAAACAAATTCACATCACACAGAGAATACAAACATAAATATTCCTCCACATTGTCCTTCACAGGTTGCGCAGTATGCTCCTTATCTGTAATTTGTGCAAATGTTTGCAATTTATAGTATCTGCTATAAAACCCATTCAGAAAAATTTCCTTTACATGTACAGTGTATTTCAGGCATTTACTTGCCACAATCACATCTCTACACTTTGTGTGTACTCTTTATAGACATGAAAGGAACAAAATGACACGAAGGATAACTGGATCACCCCTGGTATGACTATGAATGTGATTAAATTAATGATCAACAGGGGACACACTGGTCACCTTGGGGTGGTGTTAGGGGCAGGTTCCTCTCCTGGCACCAACCAATAGGATGAATGTATGGACTGCTGGCATCACACCTGCAAATTTTGACATATAACAACAACAACAGCCAGGGTGAGTTTACAGCAATGTTGGTATTGGCATAAATTACATGACAGATAGTAAATCAATAGTCAAATGCCTACATGTGATGTGAAAGACCTTACAAACCCAGTCTCAGCACTCTCACTCCCCCTGCATCCTGCCACAGAGAGCTGAACACAGATAAAATAAGCCACCTGTATGTAATATGTGGGATTCAGTCATTTGTTTGACAATATGGTAAAATACAGTGCTGCATAACACAAGCTCCTCATGTGTTTATTTATGTATCTATTTATTCATAACTAATTTTTATTTCATTGTTGCACCATTTATTTTAAAGGGATAAGAATTTAGGCAGAAACTAATGTTATATTGTTATAGACATAAGAATTGTTAAAAAGGAGTTACATGGATGCCACATGCTGACAGGTAAGAGCAACCTAAAGACATCAGAGGTCTTGATGTGGTTGACTGAGAGCTGCTAATGAGTAGATGTGATTATCCTGGTGTATGTTTATGCTTTACAGAACTGGGTGAAAATAAACATAGAGATTATGCACTTTAAATGTCGGGTTTATCCACCCCAGTGTGCTCCATATATAATCAAAGGAACTGTGTAAGACAAAGTTAGCAATTAGTGAAGACGGGGGAGCATTTAACAGTGAAGGAGCTAGATATTTTTATAAGGAGTTAGTTGAGACCATATCGGAGCTAAAAGGGGATTAAATGTTGGCCATTGTTTCATCAGGTGAACAGAAACACATCTTCAAAACTAGAATTACCTCCTCGTGGTTGTCTGCCTCCACCACTCAGACTAGTTTCAGGTTACTTAGATTTCAGGTTGTTTATCCAGAGTCATATAAAATATGAACCATTTGTGTGAAATTTTGTCATAATTGCTGGGAAGTCTTGAGTAATTGCTAAAAAGTGTTTTGTGAGGGCACACTGACCTTTACCTTTGATCTTTGACCACCATCCTTGAGTACAAGTGAATGTTTGTGCCAAATTTGAAGGTTCTGTCAAGGCATTACTGCGATATTGTGTCCATGAGAATAGGACGGACATACAGACGGACAACCCAAAAACAATATGGCTCCAGCTCTGACTGTTGCCGGTGGCAAAATGAATGTCAATGTTTCTCTGTGTCTGTTGGATGTGTAAGTAGGCTATTTTCTGCTTTAGCTATAGCAACTTTATATAGTGATAATGTGTCAGGGGTGTCAGTCACTTTCTTTGTTTTAATGCTTGTGACTTTTCTCTTGATGGCAGGAAATATTAGAAGAGATCCATGACTCTGTTCTCAGTATTCTCCCTCTACATTTAGCAACTTCTCAGAATATCACAAGCCTCAGTTTCTGTATCATTGCTGTGTATCATATTCATTCAATCATTTCCAAAAGCCCACGCATCCAGAACTTCTTTGAGGCTCACCAGTAGTCATATGTGTCATCCCAGTTGTCAAAATGAACCAGGAAGCGGTCGTCCACCATGTCAGTGACAGTTGCTACACAGATGAGGGAGGGGTTCATACGGTCAACAGCCTCCAGCTTCATTCCTATCTCGAAACCGCACTTCACATCAATCTAAAAAGAAGGTGAAAATATTAGAAATGACATGACAGGAGCACATAAGCAAACAGAGACAGAGAGACTAGTGGACTACAGCTGATAAAGTCTATAAAAAATATTTACAAACTGAGCACTGCTCAAATATCAATTTTGTGGTTTGACTGGTTCAAAATTTTTGTTTATGATTTCACCAGCATATAGCTTTATGATGTTTTCCTATTAAACATTATTATTAAAACAAATATCAGTCAGGTCTTTAAGGTTGTATTAGCATCTACTTAAGGTAAAACATACTTTCTGAGACAGATAGAAGATAAAATGGTTTAAAATCAACTTTTTTTATCATGGGATTTGAGTTTTTCCAACCTTAAATCTTTCACCTCATCCATTCATGCTTGTAGATAATACAACTACCGTATATTATACTGTATAGCGGCAGTTACCCTCCCAGGACTGGCAAACAGTTCTTTGGGAGCCACTTGTGCTTTAGTCATTCTCAGGTAGTTGGTCCAGGTAAACTCCTCCTCTTTGCAGCCTACAGGACAGACACAGATAGAGATGATTAACAAGATGCATATTTTGGGATGCCACTCTCACTGTATGCTGAATATACCAGGCTTATCTTGGCATAAAGACTGAAAACAGGGCGAAACTGCTAGCCTGATTCTGTCCTAAGGTAACAAACCCCACCTACTAGGCATTAATTAACACAGAATATCTTGTTCCTTTAATATATACAACAACTGAGCAGACTGCCTTTTAAATTGACTATTTCCCAGCTAAGAAATAAAAAAGTAGTCTTCAGCAGAACTTATTTCACAATTTAAATTTTGTCTTTTCTTTGGTTTTTCGTGGTGCACAGTGTTGTCTCTGACCTTTGGGAGTGTGCAGTTTGTGTCCTGTGCTTTCACACCAGCCTGCAGGGTGGATGTCAGGGGAGTTGGCATTCACCCAGAAGTCATGGCAGTCAGAGTAGCCGTCAAAATGGAGCCGCAGCCGGTAACCACAGACCTGGACGATCACATGATACATTAGAGAGAAAAAAAGCAGGTTGGAGAGGAACACACTGGGCTGGACTCCTGTGAGGAAAGGGTGATTTTTAATCCTAAAAAATCCTCCTGGCCATTAAGATCCATCGACCATGTTAATGTATGCCTGGCTCACCTCAGCCACTGTGAGGACGAAGTACATGGATGGATGCTGCGGGTCGATGCCTTCCAACTTCATCCCCTGTTTAAAGCCGTTCTTCACTGTTGGCACCCTCTGAGACTGGACACACAGCATGAAAGAGCAAATGTTTCAGTACAGGACACAGACGTTAAAATAAAATGAACTGAAAAGAATTCATCCTTGTGGGGAAATTGGTTCAGGGTCGGGCTGGGTTTGAAAAATAAGATTAAGATTATTAGAGAATTACTAGGGCTGCATGCAGCATTTTCTCAAGGGTTAATATACATTTCTCATTTCCTCACTTGTCAATGTTGTACTATTCTTTAAAACTGAGGCCAACAGAACCCTTCCTGTCCTACAAGGAGAGTAAAGCGTGTATAAGGAGAGTGCTAGTGTATGTAGCACTCACTCAGGCTGACACAACAGTCTGGATATTAAATTCTATAACATACCTCTTGGAAAAGCTTGTTGGAAGCAGCAACGGCTTTTGTTTCCTCCAGATATTGAGCCCATGTCCACTGCTCTGTCTTACTGTCTCCAGCTTCAGCAAAAAATCCAGTTACTTGAATCATTTATACAATGTGTATTACAGCAAGATATTAATGGAAGACAAACTTGAACTAAAGGAAACTTAATGGAGGAGCAGATGAGAGAAAAGATATTAGGAAGAGAGTGAAACAGATTCCCTGAGCAGCATGTGTTGAGAGATTGCTGCTCCTGTAATATTATATATAAATAAATACATATGTTCATCAAGTAAAATAAGGTTCAGTCTGTGGGAAAGATACAGAAAAATGGGTAGAAAAGTAATTAAAGGTCAGGAAAGGACGAGGTAAAAGTTACTATGGATGTATAGGTAACTGGCTCACAACAAAATTCAATGCAGCAGACCCACAGTTTTTAATAGTGTCAGAGAGACAGTGATTGAACTTCGAGGTAATTCTAAAGTCATGATATATCAGGGATATATTGTTATGACTTCACTTGATATTGTTAAAGTGTCCCCCTCTATACGTAAAGGAAAGGAAAAAAGAGGAAAAATAGGCACAGCAAACAAATGAGCAAAGAAGCAACACAAAAAATGAAAGATGAAATGAGGCCAACAAAACGACACATATAATAAATGATTAGTCCAACCTCCTCTGATGTGTCTGCTGTCTGCTTTAGAGTCATCCATTTTTTCATCCTAAAAAAATATACATGAGCGTAGAGAACAAAAAGGCAATACAGTCACTGAGTCAGAGCAGATTTTTGATTTTTGACCTCAGTCTGCTTTTTCTACCATGTCACTTACATGGAAATGCCATAATCATGCTCATCTGACTGAACTGATAAGATATGAAAACATCTGCTTATCTCTTTGTTATCTCCAGATGTTAAGTGGAAACAACAATGCTGTCTCACCGTGCCCTCGATGTCAGAGTCTTCCTCAGAGGGACTCAGGTACTCCTTCCTCTTCCTCTTCCTCATGGGTTTCAGGTGATCAGGGTTGAGGGAAGAGACCCTCCCACCTGCTGGCACCTTCTCCACCCCGACACTCCTCCTGAGGTGCAGAGAGGACAAACGGTGTTCCTCAGGTGCAGACGCATCACTGCACTCTGTCTGTTTCCTCATCTTCTATCATGATTGTGTTTAATTCCACCTTCAACACTCAATCATAGATAGATAGATAGATAGATAGATAGATAGATAGATAGATAGATAGATAGATAGATAGATAGACACACAGGTGACTGATATACTGAGACTTTAAAATGAATGCTTGTGCTTGTGCACACGTGTATGTAGAGATGCATGAATGAGCATAAATGACAAGCAGCTTTTGTGAATACACCTGTCAGTGATGTGCTCTCTGCGTAGGTCCTCTGTGTAGGGCCTCTGGGCTCTGGGATCATGGTTATGTTGTCCTGGTCCGACCTGGACTTCAGGTTTGACTGTCACCAGCCTGCCTGGCTCCACAGTGGCACCTCTCACAGAGCTGACAGGAACCGACACGTCTGACACACAAGGACCAGGTAGGTCAGGTAAAAGGCTCCAGGTGAAAAACTGATGATAAACATTTAAAGTTTAAATCTAAATTAAAAATCCTGCTGTTGGTCTTCTGCACTGTGATTGTACTTCTGGTCTATTATTATTTTTTGACTATTTCCAAAACTTATTGATGACATGAACCTACAGCTTTTGCTTCATAAAGAGAAGCTCTGCTGTAGCTGATGTAATTATTACTCATTTCTACTTGACACAAACACAAATGATCATTGAAGAGCATACTTCCAATAACAGTGCTCCTATGTTTAGTAACAGTCACTAACTAGCATGACATCTGCAACATGAGCAGACATACTCGATTTTTATTGCTGTAATATATGTAATGTATATGTTTATATGTAATAATAATACAAAAGCTTTAATGATCAAATGTGTGCTGTGATATGGGAGATATGGATCATCTAAAAACAAAAAAGTACTATTTCCAGATCTTTATTTTTGTGTCAGGCATTGAAATCACCAACTACTGCTTCTGAAATGTTTTCAGTGCTGTGTGCAAAAAGAAGAAAATGTTTCACTAAACTGTAGTATTTTGTGTTTGGTCACTGACGCTACGCAACCTTATGTAACCATGAGTCTACCTGGCTTGTCTGCTGGAGCACCTTCTACGTCAGCGGATCTCCCAGAAGTCCCTGCTGCTGGTTCAGTGGTGCTGCTGGTGGTCCCTGGGGTGATCAGTGTGCTCAGCGTTCCCACGTCACTCACACAGAACTACAACACACACCACACACCCACACAAACCCACACAGCCACACAGCCACACACACACACACCCACACCCACCCACACACACACACACACACACACACACACACACACACACACACACACACACATCAATGGATCCATCTGTCAAAATGCATCCTGATCTTTTAACAAGTCTATTCAAGCCCTTTTATCCAACTACTAAAAATGGGAATGAGTGGGTGATGAGGTTATAACCTGTCTTTAGAGAATCTTGGGTGTGTTTTTTATAAGTTAAAAGCTGTCTGATTAGAATCCAATCACCCGCCATGCCTGTATTAAATGCATGGTGTAATCAGCAATAAAGCTCTAGTTGTTTACGTTGCTGTTGCTATTTTTGCCTATACATCACAGTTGCCAGTTGAGATAAACAAGAAAAATATTGTCCTTGCCTACATTCAAAGCCAAGACATAAAACAGGCCTTTTCCCTTGTCCTGGTCGGTACATCATTATGTGCAACATTAGTCTCTTATTAAGGGTAAAGTGATGACCAGTTAGGTTCTGTGTGAGCACAACAATATATCAGCTTGGGTATCGGTGACAAAAACAAACATTAAATTATGGGCACATGGGACCTGGTACACAATAATTTCACAGTGTCCAGTTCAAATTCCTATCAAATCAACATTGACACTTAGTATTTAATGCATGGTTTTAACTCCAAGGCTAAATTCTTGTAGTGAACCAAAGACATTAATGACCCCAAAATATAATGTACATACACATATATACAGAGTCTTGATCTCAATTTAATGGTTGTAATGCATTATAAATTTTGTGATTTTATTTAAATGTATAGATATTCTTTAATTTATTTTTTATTTTTTGAGTGAGTGATGTTGAATTTCTCTGACCAACAGTCTAAAAATCAAAACTACGAAAGTTATCTCTTAACTCATTTGAGTTTCATATTTGGCAATTTTACATAATAAATGACTTTATGTATTAATCAATTATCATAAATTAGTTTCCTGTTAATGCACTAAGAAATTGCTCAACTCATTTCAGTAAATTTTGTGATTGGGGAATTTTTGAAATTATAAATATTTGTCTGTCTCCTTACATTTTATTGATGCGCACCATGGACACAGTGTTGAGCTTTCCAACCTGAGTGTGACTTGAGCTCATCTACTTTCTCTGTGAATAAGATTAATGAAACTTTACCAAGAGAGCCACGATCTATAAAGCTCTTTAAGCAAGTGAAAAATAGCTTTAAAAACTTCACTACACTAGATGCTGTGAGGAGATGTAGGCTGATACACCTACAGCTGATGTAGCAGAATAAAACACTGGATAATATTCACAACACCAGAAAGATTATTTACCTTGAGGTTGCTGCTGGGTAGTATGGCCATCCCTTCCTTCCACTCCAGGACATGGACAATGCTACAAGCCCCACCCACCTGTGCTGTCAGGGTGGGTGTGGCCGTCTGATTTGCTCTGCCTCCTTTCCCTGGGTCTCCAACGGCAACAGCTGGAGTCACATCCACCTTCTGATGGCTGGGAGCAGGAGCTGAGGAGAAATGCATTCAGATTTATTAACTTTTTCCCTGAGCCCCACTGAAAGAGCACAATTCATGAAAAAAAGAAAAAGAAAAAAGAGAAGCATCAATAAATCTTATAATAATATAATAACCTGTATCAATGCAAAAATTTCAATTTAATCATTTTAGTTTCCATTGCACATACCTCATTTTTCATTATGAGTAACTAGTGTTTACTTCTAGTATCTTTTAGATTCATTAACTCTATCTACATTTTTATGAACTCGGGCCTTGCTGTACCATGTTGACATGTTTGCCCAAGACAATAATCTCGTGCAAGCATCACATTTGAAAAAAAGTGATACATTCATGTTGCACTTTCACATTAGTAAATGGAGGCATTCTGAGACACGTGGTAGTTATAAACTAATTCAACAATCATCAAGCTGACAGGCAGGTGATAGGAAACACCCTCTACACTGAATTTTACATTGTGTGCCATGCAGGCGGGATGAGGTGTATTGGAAATCCTGTATTCAGTACTAAAGTACACTGCGTTATGCAACATGAAAGAACTGACTGCTCTAACCATGGTCTCTGTGGTCTTATATAAAATCATTTTTATTTTTGATTAATATGACAATTATTTTTTCAATCAATCAATAAATCATTTAGTCTATGAAATGTCAAAACAAAATGACGTCTTGATTTGTCTGACCAAAAGTCCCAAACCCAAAGATATTCAGTTTAATACTCCCCTACGAGGCAGAGAGAAGCAGCTGTTCCTAAAGCTTGAAACTGAGAAGATGAAGCATTTTTGCATGAGAAATGACTGAAACGATTGATTAACAAAATATTTGCTGGTTATTTTTCTGTCTCTTGACTAATCGATTAATCAAATAATCACTTCAGCTGAAATGACTAAGAATTTTACTGCCACATGTGCAAAAATATCTTTACTTTGTTTATCCATTGGCCTCTCATTAACCCACATCTGGGTTTCTATGAGTTACGTCATGTGATTGCATTAAATGAGTCATTATAAGGATTCTTGGTTTAGGAAATAATCCCAGTAAATGAGATGAAACACTGTGGTTGTGATTTTTGAAAAGGAACGTAAGAAGGAAAAAAGTTTGGCTACGAATTTACATTTCCACCCACTTAATTGTTTGTGTATCTAAATAGTGTTAAAGGCTTTGTGAATGTGACACAACAGCTTCTGTGTTTTCTCCCTGAAAGGAGATCAGGGTCAGTGTGTTGATCAACAGCACTTTTGCAGGGTGTATACATACATAGACAGCAGATTGATATAGAATGGTCTGTTAAACCCAAGTGGCCACACTGCCGCACTCAGACCTGTGCTCACCTGGTAGAAGAAGCGCTGTGGTGGTGTGGGGCTGGGGCCGGACTTTCTTAGCCACACCATCACTCCCACAGATGAGGACGGCCTCGCTGGGGGATGAGGTGGATGGGTCCATAGATCTGCGATCTTCTTTGGGTGGAGCCTCCATGTTCACTTTGGCACTCTGCGTCCCTGTCCCTTACTCCGGAGTGCTGGAAAGTGAAGTGTGTGAGGAAGAATATAAAGAAATGCTCTCTGGGGCAAAAGAGGAACAAGGTAAAAGATTTACAGCTTTAATAAGATGTGTTTTTGTGTGTTGGGGTGCAGGTACTCTCTAAAACTGTGCTCGCTGTTCCTAAGGTTTAATTTTTTTCCATGAAAGTTTTTTTGGCATGTTTTTATGTCTAGATCAAGAGTAAGCAGGCAATTTGATTGTGATTTTGGGTTATTGGGTAGATTTATCTCAATGTTTTTTTATTTTCATCATATATAATTATATCATTATAAGGGTATTACTGTGGTATTAATACAATGCACAGGGGACATCCATAAGAAAGTGAGCATAACAGATATTATGAGATCTACTGTAAGCCCACTGTGGTGCTATATGTTTCTGAACAAATACATTTATTAAATATCTTATAAGCATAGAGCCTCTGTTGATACACTTTTTTTTCCATTTATGTTTACTTCCTCCCATTTTTACTCAAATGGCTCCTAGACACAGGGATTATGATAAAATAAAAAAAAGACTAAAATGATACATTTATCCTTGAGATTTCTCCCGACTTGAAGAAAATAAAATAAGTAATTTGTGGCATTTTAAACTAAATTTCCTTCCTCCATCAACAGTCATGACCCCGTGTGACTTTTTAACAGACATCCATTACCTGGAATTAAAAGGGGCAATAATGACACACCAATATTTACGCACAAGTCCACGCACACACATTAAAATACAGCATTTCAGTTAAAATGGCGGAGGATCTGAAATCCTTGAGCCAATAACAAAAATGTGTAAAAGCAGTGTCTCAAATCCAGTGAAAAACCCATTTAGTGAAAAATGAACCCTGTCACCCATTCCGCCAACATCTCAAATGAAACAGAAACATCTCCACCTCAAAACAACATTAGGCATGTCACATATTTCAGTAACCTCGGCGCAGTTTCCCCTATTATTTAAAACTATTAAACTCGATTAGGTTGATTGAACGCGTGCCATTATGACATATATTTTTAAGATGAAAAGCTTTGTGGTTGATTTTATCCATAACGCCAAAACGCTTTACCTCAAGAAAAAAACAACACATACTGACACTTGTCCCTTTAGACCGTATGTGTTTAATGTATGCAACGTGTCTGCTATAACTGGAAGAAAATGAGAAATGTGAAATAAATTCGTGGTTGCAGATCAATTCGGAACTGAATTTTGGCTTACCAGCTCTGATCTCCTGCGGCTCCGGAGCTCCAAATGCGCATGCGCAGGCCCACAGTACAGTCACCGCTCGCTGACTACAATCTAACGCTGAGGACTTCAGTGCAAACGCTCCACTTTCTGTAATGGTCGATATGTGAAAAATAAATCTAGTGCACTATCGATTACACTGACGACCGCTCAGAAACAGCTGCTCCATCACTTTTCACTTCAAATATTAACAATCGGCTTCTGCGTAAATCTGCCAACCACAGAGCACGCTCGTTTTTCCCCAGAGTACCATCCCTTAATGAAAGAGCATTTATTATATAATTAGCAGGATATAGGTCATGTCGATACTGCAGTCAAGGCTTTTACAATCCTGACACAAAACATAACACGCCAATATTTTTCATTAAGATCTTTAATTGAACATACAATAAAAAAAGGACATTTTCTTTTAGATCTCATTGCATGGAGAAAAAAATACTAATCTGTTCCACAAGATGGAGAGAGGGGCTGCATTCAGTAAAGTCTGATGATGTTCTTGTTATAAACCCAGAAGCAGACCCTCCAGAGATTTGAATGAATGTACCTTTCGCGTACAAAATAACTCCAGTACAACCGCACACTTTAAACAAGCAAAGGCTTGACAAAATCCTTAACCCTTAAGATTTAACAAATCGAAAAAAGGACTCAAGGCTGCAATCAGAACAAAGCAGGAAATTCAAGGAAAACAGGACACTGCATTTGAGGCCTTGAAGGTTTAGCCTAACTAAAAATAACCAAATATAAAAAAAGGGGGTCTTACACAGACAACCTGCTCAAAGTTACAGAAAAAAAAGCAATAAATCAGTTTTAGATGCTGATCACTGGTTCTATGTACAAGAGGTCAAAAAGGGATCATAGTAGTCTGCCTACAATACAAGTTGTTCAAACATGAAATACAAACCCTTATTTTCTTGTAAATATGCAGTTCTGCAGTGCAAGGTCTTTCATCCTGTTGTGCATTTCAGAGGTTCGCAAGGCAAAACCAAGACAGCCGATTCCTTGAAAAGCAAGTATTGATACCGCAGATCACAAAAAGAAACGACTCCAATTCTGCATCCATATGCTACTTTTCTCCCACAACCATGCAGTTACAAATCATAACAGTTGTATCAAACAATGCTAATGGATGATACAGACATTAGTGGTAGTGAACTGAATCAAACCAACAAGATCTGTGGCAAACTGGGATAATTAAATTAAAATAATTGACTTCATTTGCACTTCATTGCAGCTACTAACAGCATTTCATTTTAACAGACTGGTATAACAAGTTGAATTTTTGGGAGGCAGATTCAGGGGCCGAAGTGATTCCAAAAAATAGCCCTGCCACTGTGGTGCATCCTCTAATAAAACTGCATCTAAAATGTTTAAGACAAGTGCACTCTTGAAGGAGAAAAGTAGACAAATCAGGAAGCGTAAGTCAGTATGACAACACTGCTCATTATGTACAGCACAGGGCTCAAGCTCAACAAAGAGAACGCCTTTCTCTAATTCCACTAATCCCGAGAAGCTGATCTAGACCGTGAGCCAGATCTTGAGCGGGACTTTGAGCAGGAGGCTGAACGTTTCTCCCTTGACTTGGACCGGCGGTCATCCTCCTGTGGGGAAGGGGAGCGGGAGGCAGATTTGGCAGCACGCTCCTCCTTCCCGTTCTCTACTGGGGAAGCTGAACGACTGTGGGACTTCTTATCGCCAGACATCTCCTTGGACCGACTGCGAGAATCCCGTTCTGACTTTACCTTAGAGCAGCTCTCTGAACGGGACTTGGATTTTCGGTCGGCCGAACGTGATCGGGACTTGTGGGAGCGCGAATGAGATTTGGATTTGCGGGATCGAGAACGTGATTTGCGATTGCGAGACCGTGATTTGCTTTCTCCTGACTTGGAGCGAGACTTCCTTTCAGATCTGGAGCGGGAATGATGATGTCTCTTGTTGCTGCGGGAACGAGACCTGTAAGGAAAAAATGCTTATCAACTCAACGCTCCTCACAGGATCCAATACACAGCTTGAAACATTTATTATCTATGCCAGTATTTTATTATCTATGTCAGTATTTTAAAATCATCTTATTCTTAATTTCTATAGATCATGCACATCCTCACCTGGAGTGGGATCTGGAGCGACTACGGGAGCTCCTGCTCCTGTGGCTTCTGCGGCTTCTGCTGCGGGAGCGGTGGCGACTACGAGACCTGAGGATGACAGGACAAAGCTTAAAAACAAACCTATAGCTAATTCTTCTGTGTTGTGATTTTGCCAGCAACAGCAGCAAATCTGACACTTAAAGAATTTCTTTAGTGCTGTAGTGTTCTTACCTGGAGCGGCTGCCAGAGTAGGATCTTCGTCTGCGAGGTCGATCCTCCACCAGACGAATCTTCCGCCCATTGATGTCTGTACCGTCCAGCTTGTCCAGAGCCCTCTTCATATCCGAGTGAGTACGGAACTCGATCACTCCCTCGTTGGTGCGTTCCTTGTGGGCGTCTGCGTAGGTCACCTCCCCTGCCTGACGCATGAAGTCCTGGTGGATGCAGAAAATGCAGAGGGAAATATAATAAACTAACCTGACAGTCTAGGTGGTGTTTATCATTGTGATGACCACAGTTAACCAAGCTGAGGAAACTGCTCGTGTTCAAACATGTACCTTGAGGTCCTGCCAACTGCAGCGGCTGGACAAGTTCTCCACTATGAGACGGTACTCAGTACGGACTGGAGGTCCATACTTATCCCTGCCAGAGCGACTTCGGCTGCTGTAACCACTACCTTTAAAAACAACAGCACATGAAAAAAGTTAGAAACAACTAAAATGGCCAAGACACAAAGAACTACTGGCCTGGCTTATGAAATGAACACAAGGCAGTGACTTGCCAGATAAAAGTCCAAGGGGGTAAAAATTTGAACTTAACAATGTAAGGAGTCCCTCTGATCCCATTTTCAAACAAAGCTTCAGATAAGTGATCTATAAGCCACTGCATGGGCTCTTTAAAGTTTGTATTGTTCTGTATTTCGAAGTTGTTCTCTGCTGCAAAGAACACCACTGCATCTGTTTCCGGCAATACAAAGCCTATCTTACTTTTGTACATCACACTGTGATGCTTTGGCTGCATAAACAAATGGACAGTGATGTTCTTTCAAGACCTCTGAACCCTGTAACACAAACAGAAAGGAAGCATCCACAAAGGTTGCGGTCAAGGACACTGTTCAATCAAATTGAGAAAGAACGGTGTAGAGAAACACATACACCAGTCTTTTGATATTTTTTATTTGACCAGATGTCAGTCTGAAATTTTGTTGTTTACCAGTTTTTCCACTTACAACATTTCTTTTGATTGTAAGTTCTTTACTAGAGCCGATCCACTTATGTTTGCTGTCAACATAAAAACCAATGGCAATCCTCACCATCGCCCCTGGTCTATTGGCAAAAGGCTGCTGTCATCATGGCTTCCGGTTAGGTCAGCCAAGGATCAAGGGGGGGGCAAAGGTCACACACACATTGTAAGGTGAAAGCCAAGGCCAAACGGAACAGGCAGTCATCTTAGCCAGTCATCTTTAGCCTCAATGGACTCTCAGCCTCAGCCCGCAACTGGACTCTTTCAAATTGAAACATCAAGGACTTTTGTTAATGTTGAATATAAAAATATATATACCAAAGTTAAAAATACACATTTCACAAGAAAATGTTAGGCTAGTCTTAATGATTAAGCTAAAACTACACTAGCTAGGTTTGTGGTGATTAGCTTTCTTCTGTGGTGCAAACATCAAATTTGGAAATTCACACCTTCAAAAACATCACTCACCAAATAACATAATTATCATCCAAGAGCACTTTGCAAACCGTGATAAGAAATCCCTGCTTTCAAGTTACCTTAGCTAATGCCAACTCTATAGCCTAGACAGAGTTCTGCTGTTTGAGGGCTCTGACTTGCATTTTTTTGTTCATTCCCATTAATGAACCACAGACCAGTCAAGTGCGGCTCACAGGGGAGGAGCAAAAACCTGCAGGTCACCAACCCTTGATGGTTGAAACTCAGAACTGTTCAGCAGGATGAGACTGAGGGGAAAAAAGTTAAACTGGATTCCCTGAACAAGAAGAAGGTAGATAAGTCCTGGTTACATAGGAACTTCTCCATTTGGTTGTGCTAATACATACAGTAACAACTATAAATATACTATGAGTACAGTATCACTACTTATATTATTCTAACTGTACATGTCTGCATGCAATCTGAGACATAAAAGTGCAGTAACATAACGTATTAACATGGCATTCAAGGCTTGGTTGGCTATGGATCGTGACAGTGTACCTGACAAACAAGTCAATGTAAAAAGTCAAATATGTGTAAACTAAAGCTGTAAGCCTATCAACAGCGGCCGTATGAATCAACAAAACAGTTCTCTGTGCAGTCCACATCGACACCTCACCCCAAGGGGATGGGGAAGAGAGGGTATCTTGTAATAGACTGCACTTACTGCGCCCACCACCCCAGTAACCCCCACCGTAGCCATCTCGGTCTCGCCGCGGACCCCGGGCATGTTCGACGATCACACGCTCCCCGCACAGCTCTTTCCCGTTCAGCTCATATACGGCATCATCGGCATCCCGGTTATCCTCGAACTCCACGAACCCATAACTAAAGGGGAAAACAAAGTTTAGATATAAATCAATAACAACAAAAGAGTTTCAGTCATATTCAGTCAACATACTGTTCATTCACTCTGAGCTAGCTGTAGGGTTAGCAGGGCCCGCTAGCTCCGCGCTATAACAAACACAAAGACGCCATGTTGGCCACGCGACATTGGCCACACGGGCAAGACCAAAGTTCAACAAACAAATAAAAAATTTATCTGTAATGGTAACCTTCCAGCAAAACAGCGAAAACTTTGCAAGCTGACGCGACGGTGGATATAAAAATACATTTGCTTTAAAACGTGAAATGTTCATATATCGGCACTGACGTCGTTAACACGAGAGGTTAACACCAGCTAAGACACGTTAGCAATCCACCGAAAACTCACCCGTTTTTTAAATCGATTTCCATGAGTTTCCCGTATCCGCTGAAAAATCTCTGAATGTCTTTTTCGCGGACATGGTAGCTCAGTCGTCCAATATAAACCCGAGGCATGTTTTTCACCAATCAATGTTGTTAACGTTAAGGACTGTTCTTCGACAAAAACGGCTATGGAGTAGGACGCTTCTGCGGTAGGAAATGACCCTACTACTGAGATACTGACAGCGACTGCGCCAAAACCAGCCAATCACTGTGAAGTTAACGGTGGGAGATTTCCGCTACGGAACTTCAATTTAAAAGCTGCTGTCAGTTCTACCCGTTTTAACAAGCAATTTTTCTGCGATCGTGTTGTTTTAATTATTTTCCGACATTTTTATAAACTGAACGATCAATCTACTATGAATTTGACCGACCAATATAAACTAAAACAAATGAGGTGTTACAACCAGACTACCGCTCCAAGAACAGAACCATAAGGTGGAGAATGGAGCGCCCATCTTTGCCGGTTCTATTTCTGTGGTGCTAACAAATTTGTGACTAATCAATAATGGTAATCAGTCACAGAACTCAAGAGCAAACTGTCTCAAGTCGTTTTAGCTATGTTTTCACATACATTTTTGAAACTAAATATTCAGCAAGTCATGAGGTACACATACCAGTTGTTTTCTGTACAAAAGAAACTGTGACAATATAAGTACAGAGAAAGCAGTAATGGAGAGAGAGAGAATATTTTATTTTTGTAAAAACCAGGTTTTAAAATGATTCCAGTCAGACTTTGTTATTCACTTTCTTTTCAAACCAGAACAGAACCAATATCATGTATCCAGTATCACTGGACTGAAACTCTTCATATCCTGGCTTGTGTTGCGAAGTTCTTGATTCACATTTGAAAATAATGACCTGTAAGAGGAGACCAACGCACCAGCTTAGAGGTCATTTTTGTACTGATCTGAACTTTTGAAATAGAAGAAATAATTAAGTACACAACTGCTCATAAATGCCTCAATAGCACTCACACTTTACAATTTCAGTTTGTCTCACACACAACCTCACTATTAAATTTGCCAGTGAGAAGGTGGTTTCCCCCTATTAATTTGACTTTGTGGTCATCTGCTATAAAACAATCAAAGGAGATCTGTGTTAGGTGCCTGTCACAGACTTGTTAACAGTGACGCATCTTTCTGTATGTATTCCAGCCTGATGACTTTGATTTTCATTCTTGATAAGCTAGGGCTAAAAATTCGGGACTGGCAGTTCTGTTATTTGGAGCCAGACCAGAAACAGAAACACAACCTTCAGTTTAAGCAAGGTTGAGCTCAAGAATAAAGAAGCGACCATGAGCCACACAGTTACAATTAACAGAGCAACTATGCTCTGTTACTGCAGATCAATTTAGCTTAACTACAATTTGGCTGGTTGCATGGAGAAATGGATTCCTTATTCAAAGAAATATTCATGTCTGGTGTATGGTTAATGGGAGAAGAATGAATGAGAAAGGATTCAAGCCATGTTAAATCAGAATTTTCTTGCAGGAACCAAGAATTACAGCAAATGGGGAAAAAAAACAACCTTGGAGACAGAGGGTTCATCAGCGAGACAACAAATGCATCCTACAGTGTATGTGGTACACATCATCTGCTTACAGTGCCTCAACCCCATCTGTCAGCTTTAGATACTCTCTCACTCCCTGCCTGGTCAGGCCATGACACAACTAAACTGCCAAACCCTCCCGCAGTTCGATTCAGAGAGTCCTTTTAACAAATCAAGGTGGCGTCCGACCCCAGCTTCAGCCCTCCCTAGGGGAAAGGGGAGGCCGAGAGAGGAGGAGGAGCCCAGTTTCGGTGGCCTTTAGTTGGCTTTGGCGCGGAGCTGCGCCCTCTTGCCCGTCACAGCCTGGAAGCCAGTCTTGATGCTAGCAACAGAGCAGCGGGAGTGACACGTCTCACACTGCAGGAAATAGAGGCGAGTGTCTTTCTGCAGGATGGTCTCTGGGGAACGGCAGGTGTGACATGTCACATATTCCTCTGCAGGGGAGAAGACAATTATTAGCAGTGCAGTGTACAGAGGTGCTCACTGTATATTCCTTTAGATGTTATTTTGTTCTCAGTAGAGAAGTACAAGGTGACACAAAAGGCTTTGTACAACTTTATGACTTCTGCTTCTTCCAGAGGAGACTGGTGACATTTAAATACATTTTAATGTGAAATTTGAAGTGAAAACTTTGTGGGAGCTGTTACTTATGTTGTAATTGTAGACTGATTAAGATGACAAGATGAATTCCACCAACTAAAAATGATTTCATAATATCTGATAGCCATCTCTGCCCCAGTTGCATTGAAGTGTCTATAAAAGGTAATAAATCATTCTCGGACCAAAACTGAAATCAGACCCTGTGTGTATGGTGGAAAACAGATTGATCATGCACAAAATTAAAGCATTAATTAAAAAAAAAAAATACAAATAATAGGTTTAATTCCCACTTACTGATATATCTTCTCAACACATTTTCTATCTGTTTCTGTTGAAATCTGCCTTTGATCACAAGCTGGTTGTTTCCATCTATGGAACCACTGTTAACAGAAAAAAGGCACAAATCAAACTTTCATTAGAGTGTACACAGAGATGTTTCCTTTCAGTGGTGAACTATAAGAGCCGTACACTGTAAATAAAAGGACATACCTTGTTCCCAGCTCAGCCAACAGGAAAGCAAGGAGATGTTTAGGTTGACGATGCAACCTGTGATGGAAGTATGAGAAGTCAGTTCGTAGATAACACAAGACCATTCATCATCATATATTACAAAAAGAGAACTGGGAGTTTGGCTTGAATCAGCTGAATTGGTTTTAGTCAAACGTTCTAAGTATCAAAGTGAAGTGAGATTAGGGGTGAGTGATCTGACAGTCTTATATCCTGGACGATCTTACTTTGGCATGTGATCATATTTTTGTATTATTAAATGCTTTACTTAAAACAGGTAGTCTCACTAAGATCTGAATCTTTTCCAAGAGAGGCCTGTGTACAAATATAACCAGTTGTATGCAGCATAGTATTTGAAACCAGTTTTTCCAAGTTCAGTGTGAACAAGAGATACAGCTTCAGTTAAAATGTCCTGTGACCTGACATTGCATGTGCTGTACTTTAATCTAGCAGACAGCAGAGGTAACAAGGCAGTTATGCAGTAGAGCCTAATGAATAAACAACATACAATGCTGGTCCATTCCATTTGTGAAGGAGGACCATCCCACCTTTTCATATAAAATATTGAGTCAAGAGGATTTGGGGTGGTTGGAAAAGCATGCATATATACAGTATCACCATAATCAAGAGCAGATGAAATTGAAGATTGTAAAATGGGCTTTCGTCTAGCAGAAGAGAAACATGATATTAAAATTTAAAAGCTCAGACACTTATTACCAGCTTATTGTTAGCAGTTAAACAGCTAGCTTGCTAAGTGCAGCTGGAGACAGCAGTCTTTGTTCTGCTCTGCAGCCTCTATGATCTTGGCATAGTGCCACCTATATCAGTACTACACCTGAGCAGAACAAGAACCATACCACCAGTTGCAGTCGAAGACGGTGGAGTTACAGTCTGTCTGCGGGACAAGAGACAGGCAGGCCAAAGAATAGTGGCGAGCAGACAGACATTCGAAAGAATAAGCGTGCATCAAAGATATGAATCACAACTTCCAATCCGGACTATCAGAATAAAATCAGAACAGAAACAGGATTTGTGAGTTGTGCCTTTGAGTTGAAGTGACAGGCTTTGAGTTCAGGCTACCATACGCACAACTAGTCGTATGATCGCAAGTTCAACTAAATCTGTGGCCAGACTCCCAATTCAGATTGTGGATTGTGTTTCCACCTAAAAAGATTGTGACATAATCTTTTGGCCAGATCGACCAACCCTAACTGAGATTGACAGGAACCGTTTAGGAGGTCAGTGTGGAAGTTGGGAGGCTCACAGTTTGCAGATGTCTGTGAAGTTGACAAAAGAGGTTTTCTTGGTTCCCACTCGGACCACCTGAGGAGGCTTCATCACAAACTTCCTCTTCTCTCCAGCCACCATGTCTGGGTTCTTCTCCCTCATGATGTTGAAGACTCGGTTCAGGAGCTGACAAAGAGATGCCAGAGAGTTATGCCAACTGAAGCTGATACCAGCAGCGTTTAAATCAAGATAAGATCTTAAAGATGCTTTAATTCTTGACTTTTCTGTCCGTATGACCACAGGTTTTCAAAACATGGCAGATATCTGCATTGGAAGGGTAGAGGAAAACATCAGGATTCCAGGAATATAAGAACCATGCTGATGAGCTGATGATTTCTAAGCTAATCTATTCATGATGAAAAGTGTATGTCACAGTCAGTCTTAAAATCATGTAATGTGAAAACTGTGTGTGTGTTAACAAGTTGCCTACCTCGTCATAAGTGTAGTCTCTTTCTGAGCCAGCCCAGGCTGGTCCTGTCGAGGAGCTGAATGAGATTCCATCATTGTTCTTCCCCTCATCGTCCTCCAGAGCTGGAAACACATCACACAAACATTATCACACGTACATCTTTGTTTAGTTTGCTACATTAAAGAGGAGGTGACTTGTTCTCACCGTCGTCCTTCTCCAATAGTTCTCCCTCATCAAAATCTACTTTCTTTGATTTTTTCTTTTTGGTAGGAAGCATCAAGTCCAGGTTGTCCTCCTCCAGTGCCTCTGTCTGTTCGCCTTCAATTTTTAGTTCCTGGTTTGGACCAATTAAAAGAAATTCAGCAAGGAGGTTAAGACAAGAAAGGAGAGTGATGGGAAAGCAACAGTAAAAGTGGAAAAAGCTGATGTAAGATGATTAGAAGGACAGAAATACGCAGACTACAAGTGACGAGACTAGAAGAAAAAAGATCGAAAAATGGTAGTCATTTAGCAGTCACTGACCTTTAATCCCTCCTCGATATCATTATCAAATACTTTCTTGGGTTTCTTCTTCTTTTTCTTCTGGTTGAAGAAGTTCAGATCGTTCAAGTCATCAGACGGCTCTAGAGAAGATTAAACAAACCCAGATTAGCTCTACCTTAATGCATATTGGCAGAAGAGTAACATCCCTCAAGGAGAATATGCCCCGATATTGAGGCTTAAATGTGCGCTTTCAGTGAGAACCATCTTTATTTTCACTCAAACCTTTCTTCCTGCCTTCATCGTCATCCAGATCTATCTCTTTGTCATCTCCAGCCTCTGGTTCTGCCTCCTTTGCCTCCACCTCTTTAGCCTCTTCTCCTCCCACCCCCTCTCCTCCGTCCTCATCCAGCATGAAGGGCTTCTTCTTCTTCTTCTTCTTCTTGGTCATGTTGGGATCAAAAATCATCTGCGGGAGGAAAAAACACTAAAGAAATTAAATTTTATGATTGTTGACAAGATTACAAATGGTGGTTCAGCTGTGACGTGTTCGTTTTTCCCACGTGAGAAATACTTTATGATTCAATAACCTTGCAGACAATCTGATAACTCTTTACAGTTCCAGATGGCTGTCCACTTTTCTTCTAAGTTACCAGTGTTAACTTAAAACTGATATCTCTGGCTACTGTAGAAACACGGTCTCAGTGTCAATCATTGGCTGAAATTTTTATCACTTGTTTAAATAGTGGTATAATTTTTAAGCTTCGCCTGTGTCACTGCAGGTCATTTTCAGTGTGTTTCACTGTGGTCATTATGAGTCACAGGACATAAGATCTGACATACGACAACACCAGATGAGGCACAGGGAGAAGGACATCTGATTCTGTTATTTTCACACATCAGGTCACCTCAGAGTCTATTATCAGTCTTACACCATGGTCATCTGCCAGTGACATTATTATAAGTTTAGCTCATGGTTACTTTCACCAAATAAAGTCAACTTGTAACATTAAATGAAACTGGAGTACTGTCACTATACCTTGTAGTTTAATATATTTTATGCCCAACCAAGCAAGTATCTAAACCTGCAGCAACCACTTTACTTACTGAGTTGTCAATCTGCAGAAAAGGTATCTGCAAAAAGATTTTGCAGATCAGATTATGTCATGTTGACCACAAATGCCAAAAAAAATTTTTTAGTATTGTGTGATCATTAATTGAATATCTAATTGTTTTGGACTGCTTATCAGACAAGGATGGTAATCTGAACATGTCTACCTGGAACCATGAACACTAAATTAATCGATAATGAATGTGATCACACAGACACCAGCCAAACAATCAGAAACGAAAGTTTTAACGGTATGAATAGATAATGCAGAAGAGGTGATATGAGTAATATTACAATATTGTGATTCTCTTCCCGGGCTTACCGACTGCTGATATGTCAGGTACCTGATGCAATTTTCGGAAATAAAGTTCGTTCGTTCGTTCGTTCGTCGTCTCCCGCTTATCCGGATCCGGGTCGCGGGGGCAGCAGCCTCAGCAAAGAGGTCCAGACAGCCCTCTCCCCAGCCACTTCCACCAGCTCCACCGGGAGAATCCCGGAGGAGCTGGTGTGCAACTGAATGACATGTACATCCCTTTCCTCGTTTGTCGTCGTATCCATATGAACCAATATTAGTTAGTTAAGAAAATTAGTTGCACATATCGCTACATTGCAAATACAACGTTGAACTGATTTAAAACTCGTATGCAACTGAAAGAAAACTAAAAATCGCCACATTTACTTATAACAACGACAAACAGCAGTTAATTGTTTCTGTCAACACTCTGTTTCAGAGTAATGCCAGTAATATAGAATGAAAAAGCTAAATTAAACCTTTGTCTTTTCGGTTTCTGGTTGAGAAAAATCAACCATAAGCGCAGCAGCTTATTTAACGGCCAGCTAACGCTAGCTCGCTAACTTCGGTTCTTCAATTTCAGCTACCCAGCGACTGTGATAGAGCGGATTGGCGAGCCACTACAAATATTAATGATCTACACGACGCGATAGATCGTGATACAGTGGTGTATTGGGAATTTTCTTGTTATTTTTGCTCGGTCGGGCCGTTGTTAGCTCGCCTGTAGCCATGTGAGAGGTGCTGCGGACAGGGAGGGGAGAAGCAGCGCCCAGGCCCAAAGTCATCTTCAACATCCATCTGATCCAATAATTTACCTAAATTCACCCAAGAACTCTAGACACCGACACGGACTACCCGTCAGACAAATCACAGCGACTCACCTCGTCTCCTGACATATTTGCAGGTTGAAAAGTGTCTGAAATCTGGCTACTTTTTGTCTCCCGATCAGTCCCACACCGCTGCGCCGAAAATTTCTTGCATCAGCGGTAGAGCCGCAGTACGCATGCGTGAAGTCGACGAATCCAGACGTAAAAATTCCGCGACGGATTGCTCCAGTCGAGCACTATTCAAGAGCAACGTCGCAGAACCAAAACCGTTACTAATTACTGTCCATTGAGAGTCTGTAGATGTGTAATAGAACTGTTCCAGCAGTAATGTGTACGTGTTATATGTTTATTCTGGATAATCACAGTTATGCTGCTTCTTTCTCGTGATCTTAAAGTATGTCCCTCCAAAAAGCAAAATTTAAAGCCCAATTCAAACCCTTCAGAGCAAGCCTGAACAGGGTCACCTGTTAGCATGTACAGTATTTACACAACTGGTTAGAGTTAAATCATCACTTAAAAGTCTCATTGCGGTTTGAGAGTTTACCAGATAACATTGTCCTGAAATATGAAGATTAGTAAATGTCAAACACTATGAGTATCAAAAGGCAACACGAAAAACCTAAAAAAGCAGGACAAATATAGTAAGTTTGATACAGGGCCTTAATATGAGTGATTATGGTCTCCTTACTTACGTTTTAATTGTAGTGTATTTACAGGTTATTTACTCATGTTGCGTGAGACCTCTAAAAAATTTTTGGGTCTAAAATATTTGAGTTTTGAATTTTGACTTTGACTTTTCCTAGGGCTATGGAAAACTATGATGAGATTTTTATACTATATTCTGACACTTTATAAATGACAAAAGGTTTAACTGAATATAATCGAGAAAATAATTGCCATAAATCAATAATGAAATGGATTGTGTGAGCCTATAAAACTACACCTACAGGTGAAAAACTGACACACTGAATACACTGCTATCACACAATGACAAAGTGAAAAGATAAAGCTTCCACTACAATAAAAGAATTGAAAACCTTTAATGATTTTGCAAATAATATTCTCATCTGGATAAATAAAACATAGAAATGCAAACATGTTTCTCCATTCGTCCTTGTGTTATGTTTTTCTATTTTTTTAATGTAAAAAAATGTACATCATGACTTTGAAAAACTAAAGGAATTAACTCTTTAAACTCCAAATCGCTGATGTTGTAGATTGACTATAATCTTTTTTAAACCACCATCTCCTTCTGGATGCAGTTAATAAGGTGTGACAATAGTTTATTATTATATATTTTTTTAAACATTATACAATTTAAAACGAAAACCCTCATGAGGACTTAGACAGACAGAGCAGGATGAAAGTATTAGGCTAAACATCTCTCTTTCTAGCTGTGCATTATTTGTTTTAGTGATTTCCCATTGTTGCATGCTTCACACAACCTCAACAGAACCTCTCTGTGACAGCAGAGATACAGTATTTTATAAAAAAGAGACATATTTGGGATATTTACACCAAATAACAAGTACCACTGGGGATAATGCATCTGCGGGAGTTTTTGTTTTTGTTTTTTGTTTTGTTTTTTTGTTGTTGTTTTTTTTTGTTTTTTTGTGTGTGTGTGTGTGTGTGTGGGGTGTGTGTGTGTGTGTGTGTGTGTGTGGTGGGGGGGTCGCCGCACAATAGCGACAAGAGTGGGGGGGGGGGGACAAAGCACACAGCCTGAAACAAAAGATGAGGTTCCGATTCTGGCAAACACACAGTTCATAGCCTCTTCATCCAGCACATGCTCAGCTACTCTCCTATTTTCAAGAGCATTAACTAAAGAAAAAAACAGGGAGCAATTGATTATTACTTTTCTCAAAAATGAAAAAGAAAAAAAAATCCAGCGAGTTTAACGCCACAAATACAGGTAAATATGAGTCAGAAACAGATATTTGAGGATTAAGCTCCCATGAAAATTCCCCTGTCATCCAGTGACATTAACCATGCCACACAGCCCATAACACTAATCTGAAAACAACTCCTTTATCGCACCACAGAGCTCATAATATTGCACTCAATATAAGCTCAGTGGGCACTGAAATAGCCCTGACCAGTACAAGGACCATGAAGTGCTAGTATTGTATTAAAATCGAGGGTAAAAATATTAGGTAACTTTGCCAAGGTACAGTGATAGAGCTTCAATATAAAAGCCCCCGACTCGCTCATTTTCATTGAGCGACGGGGGGTTTCTGGGTTTAGGTGGTGAAGGGGACGGAAAAAGAGAGACTACAGCATTTTTGCTTTTTTGTAGTGTTACATAAAGTAGACAGTCAGCTCTCCTCAGACACACAGAAACACTCACACACAACATAATATCAGTCCATTCATTCCCTCCTCGCTCCTTCCTCTTCCCTCTCTGAAGCAGGTATGATGTGGCAGTTGCTGCATTTACATGGCTTCCATCGCCCAGCGCTGCAGGTCCTCCATGTCGTCCTCATCCTCCTCTTTCTTGGCTTTAAGAGTGAAAAGACAGAAATAAAAGATGTGAGACAAATTAAACAAATTGGTCATGTTATGTTTTGCTGATATCCACTGGCTTCCAGACCTCATCCTGACCCAGGGATCTCCATAGTGACAAACCCTTTATTTTTCCAGTTGAGTTTAAATCCTAGTATTTAATGGTCTCTAGCTTCTCAACAAATCTAAACAGGATATTTCCCAAAATGTAAAACTATTCTTTTCACTAATAGAAACCGGTGCTGTAGTCAGCTCATAGTTATAGTATAGGCTTGTCAAAAATTTCTTACCAGGTCTGGAAGGTAATGAAGAAGAAGGCACATTGGGCAGGGGGACATTCTCTGGTCCCCCAATCTCCAGCAGGTTTTTGTCCAGCTCTTCCTGTTCCAGCTCATCCAGCTCCGCCAGCAGCTCATCCTGAGAAAGACACAAACACAGCAATCAGCATTGTAGATGAGCATAAACACAAACTAATTCACGCAACACCAAAAACATAAAGTTGTTGTTCCTAACAAAAACACAGATAAAATATGAAATGTAATTTTCATTTTCAAAATTGGTTTCAGGCTGTGTAACCTTGTATGTCTGTGCACTTGGTGAGTAAAACATCTCACTTACAGTTAAATTTAAATACTTCCAAGTCAGTTGACCCAGACATTGAGAAAGAACTTATTTATTCTTTCTGCCATATCATCCCAGGATACAATCAACTGCATGGATGTCGATCTATGAGTAAGACCATTCAAAATTAAGGTTGATTCAATAGCCTTAATGTCACTTGAGAAAAAACTCAAGAAACACAGAGGTCAATAAGCAATGTTTAGCCTGGTAGGGCAGCATGAAGGGTGAGGCCTAACAGATCCATTATTCACTATGTTGAACAGGATACAAGAAAAATCATGTGCTCGGCTGCTGACCAATAATATTTGTGGGTCAGGTGTGTGAAAGGTCTTTAATGTCAGATTAACCTGAATTAACAGTTAGAGTCCATCTCAAAATAAATCAGCAAGAACCAGTTCAGAATCACACAGTGCATTTAGAAAATAGAAATCTCACAGCTGTGAAATCAGATCTCACGAACCTCATCAAACTCTTCTCCAAAACCAACAGGTTTAGAGATGGCGTCTGAGATTTCCTGGGCCAGCTCCTGCTGCTCTGTAATGTCCTGCATCAAGTCATCCACTTTGTCAATGTCCCTGAAATGACAGCAAGGAGAGGAACCAACTCTGAGTAAAACAGTGTGCACTACAGCATCCTTTAACCAAGCCTCATTGACCTACATGATGGTAAATTCACAGAGTGATGTATAAGGCATGCAGCAATGCACAAGTAGCCAGAATGTGCAACTACTGATGTTATCCATTCAATCTATAAATTACATGTTAGCACTTTAGCAGGGGACTGTTTATAACTTAGGTTTCTTTTTGTCATTCAAGCCCTATTACAGATTCAAATGACATCCAATGCTGATGGGTTTGGATTAGGGAGGTATTACTGTGTATATTCACCATAATCTTTCTATTGATTTAAAACAGACTGAATATTTTTTACTGTCCCTGTGGTCCCATGAAGGCAATTAAGAAGCGATGAGGTTTTTATAAACAGGCTTCACTTCAGTCCAATTGATCGATCAGTCAAATTCTGAGGAACGTAATCAGTGAGTAGATGCCCGCTCTCACATGTTTTCATGGGCAGATTTCATGGCTTTGGCAGCAAAGCCCATGTTCTTGAGCACTTCAGTGTTGGTGTTGGCATTCTCCAGAGCCTCCCTCTGGAACTCGATGGTCGACAGCGTGCCATCAATCTGAGCGAGCTGCTTCTCGTACCGCTTCTTTCTTTTCAAAGCTTGCAGAGCCGCTGAGGAGAGAAAGGCAGAGAGAAGATGAGCTGAGAACAAGTCAGGATGATCGGATTGTCACAAAAACAGATTGACAGTGTACAGATGTAATTCAATGAGTGAGTGAAGTAAAGCAGTGTATCACAGGGATTGATTGAACAGTAATGTCACTGGAGCTTGAATCTGCAGTGTTAGTTAGCACCATATCTTATGCTCTGTGAAATCGAGTGATCCACCAGTGACATACATGTTTATCAAAAATGTTAGTGACAATTCAAACAACAAGGAGGAGAATTAGATAAAGCCTGTTGGCAGATACAATGGAAAGATGGGAAAGTAGAAATTACTCAGCTGAAGTCGTCACATGACCACAACCACTAACTCAAACACCTGATAGGCTGAAGACACTAGCAGAAAGCACCATGCTGAGCTGACTCATTCTGTCACCCTTTGTGGAGCTGGAGGAGGAAATGATTAGAGTAAAGGCAATGTAGTATTCTAGCCAAGTACAGAGGGACAATCCTTTCACATTTAATGAAATATAACTCCTGCCAACCTCCACTGATTGTTCACTGAATGGAAAACTTTAAAAAAAAAATTTAATTATTTTCTTTCATTGTAATAACAACAAGATTTTGTGTTGCACTTGTGATGACATTTATCAATCCACTGGTCAGCCTGTCCATCACTTTTCACTTTGTCCAACACTTTGGTGGAGAGCAACATATTTCAACAACCAGTGACCAGGTTGGCATGAAATTTAGTTTGGGTATTTTTGCTCCTCAGAGGATTATCACCACTGATTTTGATGACCCCTTGACCTATTGTTCTGCACCATCATCAGGTCAAAATTTAACACTTAATCAATACTTTCATGTATGACAAGATGTCTTCAGAACTACAGACTTCCACATTATAGACTATATATGTTCATGATCCCAGAGGACTGATCCTTCTGGTGACCCTGTGCACAGGCATAATAATGGTCATATATTTTAACAGCCAACCTTCTACTATTAATCATTCATTTCAGACTCTCCGTGAGTGTTTCTCTCACACCACCCTTACAACAAATTATCAAACGTTGTCAACAACATTCCAGTTCGATCTCAAATGAGCTTGACATCAACTAGAGCATGTAACATGTAACACACCTACTAAAATCTTTACATAAAGAATAAGCAGGGACATTGTTGTTGAAAGGAAGAAAACATCATGGCCAGTGATCGTGTCACTTCTGGCTTTAGTATGCAATCTGTAATGCAATGTGATTTCATGTTGTCGTAATCTGATCGACTGCTTAAGATGGTTTTGTATCAATTGCCAGCATTGCAGCTTTTTCACCTGTTCAGCTGCATTATGTTTTCACCTGCTTTTTTTCATTCTACTGTATATATGTATAAACATAAATAAAGTTTGCATTATGTTGTACGAGATTATGGTCTGATGGTCATTGTAATAACTTGTTTCCATATTACCCATCATAATACTGCAGGCATCTGTGCAACCTGCTGGAAGTCTATAGGTTTCAGTACAGACCTATGACCAAGGTGCAAACACGTGCCCCTCTCAGTGATACCACGTCCTTTTAAGATTCCAGTACTCAACCCTTGTCCTGACACACTGAGCCACTATATTTATGGCCAGTCCGTGTGCGGTAGGAGACTTGACTAAAACTGTAGTGCCACACCTTCAACTGAGTCTTTCGATTATGTTTAATGGCCTTGGTCAATCACACGAAAAGAGGACCACCAGAGACATGTTAGAAGAAGACAATGCTCGCTGAGTGAAAAGAAGTTCCCGATAATCAACATTAAGATAACCAAATCCGTCCTGCAGTCAGTGAAACTCCTCTTTACCTATACTGTTTACCACAGCCGTGATAACGAGGCTCGGCGGGGCTGCCAACAGTTACGACAGCTCGGCAAACTTAGCCAACTTAGCTAACGGGCTAATACTTAGCTTCGTGTTGTTGACCAGGCAGTTTGGGGGTAAACAAAAGAAACTATAAGGAAATCGCACCCTAAAATCTCACCTCGTTTGTTTTTTGTGCCATTTTTCTTGGCGATCTGCAGCTCCTGTTCGATCTTTTTCTCCAGAAATTCCTGTTTCTTCGTTAGCATCTCCTCCGTCTCTCGGAGTTTCTGGATCGCCTCCTGTGGGCTCGGTCCCTTACCTCCTTTTCCTCCTCCTCCAAATATCTTACCAAACAGCGACATATTTGGAAAACTACAACACACTATTTATCAAAAAATAAACAAATCCCCGTAATACCAGAGTAAATGAGGCTCGGCTACCTCGCTGTTGGACTACACTGACACTTCGCTCCAGCCTGAACCTGGAAGGATTGTTGATGTTTCTCTACTTCCTGGAGGCCCGATGACGTCATTTTTGCGTCGCTTGTTGCCTCTCTGTCGCCACCTGCTGGGCAACTGCAGCACCGAAAATCACTGCAGTGCTTTAAATCTGTTTTTTAATCATCTTTACTTTGATCTTTTATTATTGTTCTATTCTATGGTCTATTTGTTTTTCCTTCTTATTTAATATTCTCTCTGTTTTCTCTGTATGGTGAACATGGCAGTGGATTACTTAATTGAATACATATATATATATAGCGCATATATTTGACAGCCTTAGTTATTCTACAAATTCAGATTTTTATATACAAAACATGTTAGAAGCTTAGAAGCTTATAAAAGATGATGCTTTGTTATACATTAAACTACTCAACAGTATGTACTGAATGATCGATTAACTGATTGACAGAAAATTAATATAAATTAATATGAATAAGAAAATGTTGAGAACTTTGGAAAACATTGATGGTTTTGGTCTTTTAATGGTAGCCTGTTTGTTGATTCAACAGCCTTATCTTTTAAGTCATTTTTCATGACAACATGAAAAAGGTTTCATTGTTCCCACTTCTCAAAATGTAAGGATGTGCTGCTTTTAATGATTTTAATTCATGTGAATTAATTTTTTTAAACTTTTTTGTAACCATTTTTGGAAATTTCATTTAACACAATGTCACTGATAACATAACTTAACAAGACAACTTGGGGGGGGTTGGGTTCTCAGCTGTTTATCAAATCACTTTATTGTACTTATTTCATAACTAGTTAAGGAACACCACATTAGAGATGAAGATAGTACCCATGATCAGAGCAGTAATGTTACTGTGGGGGAGCTGGCAAGCATCCCCCTCACTAAGGTGAAAAACAACACACATTGACTAATACAGGAAGTTCATTTTTGTTAAGTTGTGCTTTTATTTTGGGAACCTCTACTAATCACTCTCTCTTTGAGGTCTACTTCCAGGGGGCGTGTTTTCATGGAGTGCACACATGGAAATGCAGCCACCGGACTCAGCAGGTGTAAATTACCTTGTTAGGCTGTACCAATTGGGCAGGAAAGAGAGAGGGAGTGGGTAGAGGGGTTTTTGTTAAGTTTGGCTTTTGTTTGGTATTTCTTTAGTTTATTATGCATTTTATTTAATCTGGGTTAGGCCAAAAGTCAGGTGTATCTTGTGTATGTAAATATGAGTAAGGTTAAATTGTAAATATGTATTCTAAATTTATGGTGGTAGTGTTCAGGGGTCCTTCACAATGTAATATTTTGGTAGAGACTGTGGGTATTTGGGGGGGGGGGGGGGGGGGGGGGGGGGGGGGTCAGGTGTAATGTCACCTTTGCTGCTGCCATCCATTGTGACCTGCTACACCAGCCAGACTGCTTTTGTTGTCAGGCCATTCTGCTACATATATGTAAGAGCTGTTGGACTTCTTTTGTAACTTGCCTATGGTCACCAGTAAACAAAAATCAGAGCTCTGAAACCAATCCTTATGTGACTGATGCTGTTTATTTCTCCATCACGCCTGCACCTCAATCCTGCTGGCCTTCATCCTGGTTGTAAGGGTTCACCACCATCCAAACCTTACAGCAACTTATTAGGATAAAAAAAAGAAAGGCAAATAGTATGATGAACTGTATATATTATGTACTGTATAGAAGCACATAGAACTAAACATAAACTTGATATTTTTGTAGGATATAAATCTGCTTAACTTCTCTCAGGTGACCAAACAGATTCCGTCTGACCTTTCCTAGTATTCAAATAAGAATTTGGTAGATATAAAATAATCCAGGTAACAGACAACCAAGTAGCAGTGCGGAGTGCCAACCCATATGGAAAAGATATAGATAAATCTTATAAAAATTTGTATCTCCTTTGTCTGAAACTTGTAAGTAAAGCATACAACAGTGAAACCAGATATAAGATCCTTAGTAAATTTGAACAAAATGAAACTTGTATGATTTGGGTATTTATCAGAACAATATATGACAGTGATGTTGTATACAATATCCTTAGTAGGAAAATGTAATATCAGACCTATATAAGTTGGGCAATCATCAATGAAACTAAACTGTTGCAAATATTATAGAAAATACTTACAAATTTTACTTGTGTTGTCACAAATGGGAGACGTTTACATAAACAACATGATTTGACAATGAAATTACACAGAAACGCAAGATTGACTAAAGCAGGTTTTCAACTCATAATGACAATGGACTGTTTTTTTGTTTGTTTTTTTTGCTAACATTGTGTAACATTTTACGAGCAATTATATCCAATAATATTCATTCCATTCTCGTCTCGTCTCGTCGTCTCCCGCTTATCCGGGTCGCGGGGGCAGCAGCCTCAGCAGAGAGGTCCAGACAGCCCTCTCCCCAGCCGCTTCCCCCAGTTCCTCCAGGAGAATCCCGAGGCGTTCCAAGGCCAGCCGAGAGATATAATCCCTCCAGCGTGTCCTTGGTCGACCTCGAGGTCTCCTCCCGGTGGGACATGCCAGAAACACCTCCCCAGGGAGGCTTCCAGGAGGCATCCTCACTAGATGCCCGAACCACCTCAACTGGCTCCTCTCGACATGGAGGAGCAGCGGCTCTACTCCGAGTCCCTCCCGGATGACCGAGCTCCTCACCCTATCTCTAAGGCTGAGCCCGGCCACCCTGCGGAGGAAACTCATTTCGGCCGCTTGTACTCGCGATCTCGTTCTTTCGGTCATTACCCAAAGCTCATGACGATAGGTGAGGATCGGAAAGTAGATCGACCGGAAAATTGAGAGCTTCGCCTTCCGGCTTAGTTCCCTCTTCCCCACAATGGACCGATTCAGTGTCCACATCACTGCTGACGCCGCCCCAATCCGCCTGTTGATCTCCCGCTCCATCCTACCCCCACTCGTGAACAAGATCCCGAGATACTTAAACTCCTCCACCTGAGGCAAAGCCTCCCCCCCGACCTGAAGCGGGCAATCCACCCGTTTCCGGCTGAGAACCATGGCCTCAGACTTGGAGGTGCTGATTTTCATCCCAGCCGTTTCACACTCGGCCGCGAACCGCCCAAGCGAGAGCTGAAGGTCGGCGTTCGATGAAGCTAGGAGGACCACATCATCCGCAAAAAGCAGAGACGAGATCCTCCCGCCACCGAAACCAAACCCGTCCACCACCCGGCTGCGCCTAGAAATTCTGTCCATAAAAGTTATGAACAGAACCGGTGACAAAGGGCAGCCCTGGCGGAGTCCAACCCTCACCGGGAACAGGTCCGACTTACTGCCGGCTACGCGAACCAGACTCACACTCCTTTGGTACAGGGATTTAATGGCCACTAACAAGGGGCCATCCACCCCATACTCCCGGAGTGCCCCCCACAGGGAGCCCCTGGGAACACGGTCGTAAGCCTTCTCCAAATCCACAAAACACATGTGGACTGGATTGGCAAACTCCCATGCTCCCTCCAGCACCCTAGCGAGGGTAAAGAGCTGGTCCACAGTTCCACGCCCAGGACGAAAACCACATTGCTCCTCCTCGATCTGAGGTTCAACTATCGATCGGACCCTCTTTTCCAGTACCCTGGCATAGACCTTTCCAGGGAGGCTGAGGAGTGTAATTCCACGGTAGTTGGAACACACCCTCTGGTCTCCCTTCTTAAAGATGGGGACCACCACCCCGGTTTGCCACTCCAAAGGCACTGCCCCCGATGTCCACGCAATGTTGCAGAGGCGTGTCAACCAAGACAGCCCTACAACATCCAGAGCCTTGAGATACCCAGGGCGGATCTCATCAATCCGCGGGGCTCTGCCACCGCGCAGTTGTTTCACTACGTCGGCGACTTCTGCCCCGGAGATTAGATCATCCATCCCCAGGTCTCTTGGCTCTGTTTCCTCTACGGAATACGTGTTGGTAGGATTGAGGAGCTCCTCAAAGTATTCCTTCCACCGTCCCACTATATCCTCAGTTGACGTCAGCAGCTCCCCGCCCCCACTGTAAACAGTGTGAGCGAGTTGCCGCCTTCCCCCCGAGGCGCCGGACGGTTTGCCAGAACCTTTTTGGAGCCGATCGATAGTCTTCCTCCATTGTCTCACCGAACTCCTCCCACGTCCGAGTTTTTGCCTCAGCAACTGCCGCAGCTGCACTCCGCTTGGCCCGCCCGTACCAGTCAGCTGATTCCTGAGACCCACAGGCCAACCACGCCCTGTAGGCCTCCTTCTTCAGCCTGACGGCTTCCCCCACCGCCGGTGTCCACCAGCGGGTACGGGGGTTACCGCCACGACTGGCCCCAGCTACCTTGCGGCCGCAGCTTGCAACAGCCGCCTCAACAATAGCAGAGCGGAACAAGTCCCATTCGGACTCAATGTACATTAAATGTCATGTGCTCTTTCCCATACAGTGACTGCACACCTCCAACAACGTACACTAATGCGTCATGTGCGTGATTTATCAGATCAGCATTTAATTCAGACCCCAACAGAATGCTTATGCCCTCTATCAGTAACGCCCAATGAGAGTGATACCTCTGTGGAAGTATGCCTTTCAGAACTGGCAAGCTGTAATACAAAAGCCAGTGCTGCCTCTCATGGGCTTTCCAGAATTTGCGCTCTGTTAGAGATCTTGGAACACGAGCAACAATACTTGGAGGCTTAATAGACAAGAGGTATCTGTCCATGATGGCTGTTTGTGTACCAATATACCATGGCTCAGAACTGCTTTTAGAATCCATCCATAAATTCGCCATGTATCTGCACACACCAAGCAGCACACAGTGCATGTAGTCAGGGACCATCCCATTGATTAGATCAAACAATGGTAAATCTGCAAGAGCAGATGAGCCCTTTATGCCCAATATGGTCTTCCCTTCTCTTTCAGCTATTTGTCCTATTTCTACTGTGGTTTTATGATTTCTGTCACTTGGCTTTTCATCTGGACATGTGTAAACCCTTGTTTCCTTTTCCTTTCCTTGTTTGCATCCCAGGGTGAAGGCAGACTCCACAGCCATACTCACCATTAAACTGCTTAAAATTCTGTAGTAAT